CCTATAATTCAACTGACTAGAGTCAATTATTCCGTTTAATCCACGGTCACCGCCTCAAGAAATGATTCAGATGTTTTAATTCAAGAAATGTGTCCGAAAGCGACATCAATCTTGTGTGAATTTCATGAGATGTTTGTTCTCAGTGTTCGGCAGCAGCGTGTCTGGGAATAGTGAGGGTGTAAGTTTATCTGCTTCAAAAACAACAGTGACCACCTCACTACTGAGAAATGTCACGAAACTTTACAGTTTAGTAACTCTGTTAAGGAAAAAGTCGATCACTGAGCCGTGTGTGTGAGTACAGTGCGAGAAAGAAAGCCTTGAGATAATAAAAAGTGTGAAAAACATGGAAATTGTGATTTTTAGTCTTGTTTGTAATATTTGTTTGCTTGGTAAGAGTTTTTGTGAGTTTTGGTTCAACTGTTGTTGTAGGAAATAACTGAAATAATTTAAAAGTGATATAAAACTGTAATGCTGGTACTACTTCATAGTTGTGCGTTTAGTTCAACATGATAATTTCACACCAACCAATCAAAATCAAACATACAACAGCCCTGTGATATAAAGTGTTATGATAATGATGTTAAAAACAACAATGAACAAAAATAGTTTCTAAACTGCTGCTGTTCTTTCAGCCTTGGGCCGCTCCAGATCCACTGCTGCTTTAACCCAGATGGCTGCTGGTCAGGAGGTTGGGAGACAGTGTGGAGACCACATTCAGAAAGCACTGTCAAACCCAACCCAGCCGTGGAGTCCAGAGCTGCTTGGCTATATCACTCCTCTGCCTTCTGAGTCGACTCAAAGGAAGAGGAAGAGGCTCAGCTTGGAGGATGAAGATCCCTCCACCTCAAACCAGAGACCCGCCAAACGCTCTTGCGAAGGTCAGGCTTATTCTGAAGACATTGCTGAATTAAGTGATTTGCCATTGAAATGTTCACTCACTGACTGATGATTAAAGTAACATTCTTGTAGTCACCTGTTTTCTCGTATGTTGCAGATGCGTATATAAAGGGCCCAATGCTGGGTCAAGGTGGATTCGGCTCTGTGTTTGCTGGGACCCGCAGCTCTGATGGATTACCAGTAAGACATTTTCCCTCCTTCTTCACTCGAACAGCCCTTATTCATGACACTTGTGGCAAAAACTGTATTTCATCTATGCAGAGCAATTATTGTCATAATTAGCAGGTGTAATTAACTGTGGTACATCTGTCTGCAGGTCGCCATCAAGTACGTCACTAAAGACGAGGAGCCACAAGAACATAGACGTTGTAAGTTTAGTCATATTGGTTTGATTGACACATAAATCAATCTAGTGATGATTAAAGGATCTCATGTCTCCTCTGCCGCCGCAGGAAGGTCAGGGTCTGCTGCCGCTGGAGGTCACACTGATGACCCGGGTCAATTCAGCTCCAGCCTGTCCCAGTGTCCTGAAACTGCTGGAGTGGTTTGACCATCCCGGCCGCTACGTCATGGTCCTGGAACGGCCGGATCCTTGCCAGGATCTCCACAGATTCTGTGAGGAGAACGGCTGTTTGGATGAGAGGCAGGCCAAGAAGGTGCTGCTGCAGCTCATCAACGCTCTCAAACACTGCGAGAGCCGCGGCGTCTTCCACCGGGACGTCAAGCCACAGAACCTGCTCATTTGCACCGATATGAATGAGATCAAGCTGCTGGATTTTGGCTGCGGACACCTCCTGAAAGACTCGGAGTATACAGAGTTTGCAGGTTGGCTAGGAGATGATCTCGCTGCGACGATATTCTTATATGTGATCAGCAAAAGGAAGTTTCTGTTTTGAACTGAAAGCGTTTAAGCTGATCTCTTCCTCTTCTCGGGTCTCTCAGGCACTCTTTCATATGCCCCTCCAGAGTGGTTTCATTCCCACAGCTATCGTGCAGGACCAGCTACTGCTTGGTCGCTGGGTGTGACGCTCTACAAGCTCCTGTGCGGTTCTCTACCTTTCAGAAACGCACAGAGAGTTCACAGACTGCACTTCCCTAGGCACCTGTCTGCAGGCAAGAGATGGCAAACATTCAGCCGTTCACAAAGGGCAGGCAGAAATCAGGAGGAGAAGTTCATCTTGTGTTACTGAAGTACCGTGTTTTATGTAACAGATTGCCGTCAGTTGATTCGATGGTGTCTTAGAGCAGCAGCGGACGACCGTCCCAGCTTACAGGACATTGAGCAGCATGCCTGGTTACGCTCCACAGGTGGCCAGTCACATGACACTCATCACAGTGACTTCTTGTTCACTGGACAATTGGATTGTACTGTTAGGATAAATGTAGGTGACTGGTTGTAATTCACAGGATGAGCAGGAGTGCAGGAAACAGGAGCAGCAGAGACAGCTGGACACCTGCAGTGAGGTGTAATGCTGTGCTTCAGTCTGGACCGTGATTGAGGGCTCTGTGTGGATGCTGGAGGAGCTGAACACGCAGCGCCAGCTCAAACCAGAGCCCTGTTGCTACAGAGATCCGGTCCAGACCCAGTCCAAACCAGCATGTAGCTGTTTTAATAAGGAAAGGAGAAGAGAGACAAACGAAATGCATTAAAACATGAGGCATTAAAACTAAACCCAGTTAGTTGCCACATTTCTCGTTTATTTAGTTGAACTTGATGTACTAAAATAACTAAAACTGAACAACAAAATGAATATGTAGCTGTTTTAATAAGGAAAGGAGAAGAGAGACAAACGAAATGCATTAAAACATGAGGCATTAAAACTAAACCCAGTTAGTTGCCACATTTCTCGTTTACATTTAGTTGAACTTGATGTACTAAAATAACTAAAACTGAACAACAAAATGAATAAAAGTTTAAAATTAAATTATAATCTAAACATGTTAATAAAAACTAGAATAGCATCTCATTGATACTAAAATAACACTGATTTAAATGAGGACAGCAATTGGATTGGACAGTGTTTTTTTAATTAATCGTACAATCTGGGAATTTAGTTTTACAGATACATTATCAAACTATAACCACATCATATTTCACAGAATGGATTCAACATTTGTTCTGTAGAATCAACACGACGCTAGGATTTATACCTAAAAGCTTTAAGGTTAATCCGTGAATATATATCATCCTTCATACTGGAGTCTAAATCAATTCCCAAATACTTGCAGTGTTTAACTGTTCGATATATTCTCCATTAGTGAAACTGGCAACAGATTTTGTATTCAGTGTATTATTTCTTTCTTACCTATGCATCATCCGTATATTTGCAGCATTTATAGTGCATTGCACGATGTACCAGACAGCATATCCCTGAAAAGCCCATTGTGTCATATTTAATGCACCCATGTAAATTTATAACTGATTTGAATTGAGCTGATTGTACAATAGAGTGTATAATCTCACGTTCATGGTTCCATAAAATTAAAACAGTACGGTTAAAACTCTTCAGATTTTGTGTTGTGATAGTCCAGTACACTATATATCAGCCTTCTTTGTCATATTTATAACACCCCTCAAAATAGCAGAGAATCCATGCTTTAAAACAGACTAAAAACAGCGCGGTGAACAGAGGAACGTATAGAAGCACTGTATCTTTTAAGGTGGCACGGAGAGGTTTCTGCACCAAACTACATGTGAGGACCTGTGAAGCAGGAATGAAGGTGCTGGTGGAGGTACGGCGGGTGAGAATGCCCAGCAGGGGTTTTTTTTCCTTACATAATACAAGAAAATTTGAGTGTGATGGCCGAATTTGTAAAAATACTTCACCTGCTCAGCTCATAAATTCATGGGAACTGAAATCACTGCAGAAAACAACTATTACAAATGTGACCCTGGACCACAAAACCAGTCATAAGGGTCAATTGTTCAAAATTGAGATTTATACATCACCTGAAAGCTGAATAAATAATCTTTACATTGATGTATGATTTGTATACATGTATAGGACAATATTTGGTCGAGATACAACTATTTGAAAATCTGAGGATGCAAAAATATATTGCAAAAATCATCTTTAAAGTTGTCCAAATGAAGTTCTTAGCAATGCATATCAACTAATCAAAAATTAAGTTTTGATATATTTACGTTCGGAAATTTACAAAATACCTTCATGGAACATGATCTTTACATGATCTTGCAGAAAAGAAAAATCAATCATTTTGACCCATAATGTTTTTTTGGCTATTTGCTACAAATATACCCCAGCGACTTAAGACTGGTTTTGTGCTTCAGGGTCACATGACAGTTCTACAAAACTTTGCCCATTTATGCAAATTTCCATGATGAATTGCAACAAATTATTAAATAAGCAACCAATATCATCCATCCTGCTTTAGCGCGTGGTCAGTGTTGTTTGGACCCCATTGACTCTCATTGTATCAACTAAAACAGTCAAAATGTCTCCTTTTGTCTTCCACAGAAGAAAGGAAGCGACAGATTTCAGAATGAGTGTTTTCGATGTGAGGGTGAGTAAATGATGACAGAAGACTTTCCATTTAACTTTTATAGCTTTTAGTGGAGGAGGGGAAACGGTTACATCAGTATGTGGAGGCAGTGCTGTAATATACTCATGATGCGGTTTATGTGTAACCCTCACTCAAACTGAATTTTGATCTGGTTTGATTAAAACTTTGCATTTTTCATCACCAAGACACGTGGCATCCATAACAGAATTCGGTGTTGAATTAAATGCTTCGGATCCCGATTCTGGTTCACAGCACCACTATGTAACCTTTTGTTCTCAGATTAAGTTGTAAAAAGAGTTAAGATGTGTGCGGTCTAAATATCGTTTCTCTCATTGGCCAATCAGTTTTTCACATGTTTATGGATGTTTTAGAAACTGTTGGACCTGTGGACTTCTAAACACTTTTTAACCTCCAATTTAATTAGAAACTGATACACCTACAACAGGAAGATTGGATCATACAAGACATGGAGGAATCGATGACTAAGATGACGGAATGAAAATGTACAGCTCAATCATTAATATAGAATAGGATGAGCAGCCACCCTCTACTCAAAAGGTAAAGACTTCTTGCATCAGTTTAAATATATAAAAATACACTGGATTTTATTGTGAGTGATATGTACAAACAGCAAATGTACCAAACAGAACAGGAGTATAAAACTTTTTTTTTTTCTTTCTTTAACCGAAGGCCATCTGCACGGAGCCCTGATGAACCATGTTACGATCAACTAACAGTTCATTTGAAACGCCACTGCACTCGGCTTGTATATTAAGGGGGGACGAATGTACGAAACTAATACATTGGAAAAAGATCTTCACAAAAGGTAAAGTGTTACAATATTGCAGAATTTCATCAGTTTTGAAACCTCGAACATCTACCGGATTTATCATCTGCATTACTGATGCTCATGTAAGTGTGACTGAGTTTGAAAGAACTTATTGGTCTCTAGCGCTAAAATGTGTACATAAATAGCCCATCCTTGTAAATCTTCTGAACATTTTACATAAATAGTCAAAAACAAAAAAACGAGTACATTATAAAAGTTAAACCCTCTGCCGTCTTAGGCTAAACAGGACACATTTTGCTGTTTGGACCAGGTAATGCACTTTGTTTGCATTTCTTTTGGTTCCCACACTTTCAAGCTGGCATTTTAAAGAAATAGGTCAATCAAAATGCATTGAAACGTCATTTACTCACCCCTCATGTCATGGCAAACGTCCTGTGAATCACAAAAGATCTGATGCACAATGTCCAAGCAGCTCTTTTAACAAAACAAACACAGATGATTTATAAGGCCATGACCAGATCATTGTGTGTGAGGAACACCGCGAAACAAAGCAAAATTCTCCAACTAAACTGTGCCGTCTGCATTTCACTGGATTTAGAAAGTAATTCAGATCTGAAATGACATGAGTGTGAGTCCGTGTTCATTTTAAGGAGGTAAAACTTATTTTAAAACTTACAAAGTTCTTGCATTAAATCAGATTCTTGTAGTACAGTCAAAATCAAAGTCTGTTTGCCAGATTCATGAGTATAGACGAGTTAGACACATCCGGTGTTATTAATAAGCAGCTAGATGAGCAGAGAAGGCATGGGCTTCTTGCCAGGCCATGCCTCTTTAGCGTACTTCTTCTTGCGGGGTTCGCTGAGAGGGTCGGAGACGTAGGGGCCGGGTAGCGGCGTGGGGTTGAGCACGAGCGGAGGTGGCGGGGCCTCCTGGGCCAGGTCTACATCCGGGGCCGGGTTGGGCAGGGGTAACGGCAGTCCTCCCAGGATTGTGGCTCCGCCGGGAGCTCCTGTGGATTGAGTTTCGTGACTGGCCGGGGGAAGGTCTCTGTAGAGTCCACCATGCAAAGGGAACGTGTGCATGTGTCGCGCCACTATTTCCTCGATTCCCAGCGCAGTACCACCGCCCATTTTCTTCTTCTGTTGGGTAAACATAGGCATGTAAATCACTCTCTCTTTTTTGCATAAATGACTGAATGACTTGAGATTTTAGAAAGCTACCTTAATAGGAACCACAGCTGTTGTCACCATGTTTCTGAAACGTCCAACAGAGGGGTCGATGTCCTCTAAAAGAGTTAACAACACAAACATCGTTAAATGCCTCAAGTCACAAAAGTAGTGAGGGATGCTGTAGGCCAAGTCTTAAGTCATATGATAGCTTTGTCTGATGAACAAATCTAATATTTGTTTTTTGGTGATAAATCACGCTCTTTCAAGCTCCTCCTCCACCGAAAAAGGGCAGTTCAACCTGCTGTGCCAGGTTTAATGTCATTAACACTCAGTATCATTAATATCATTAACTAAAAGTAAAACTACAAGATAAAAACAAACAACTTAATTAGAAATGTTGCCTTGGAAACTTACGTTTCAGTTTAACTGGAAATAAATAAAAACTAAAACTAAAATGTAAAAAATGTAATCTTAATATTTCAATGAAAAGTAATAAATTACAAAAGCACAAAGTGACTGAAAATTTTAAAAACCTATTCAAATATGAATAAAACTATAGTAGTATATAAATATTAAAATAATGCTTAACACCATAGGTGTTCTCCATCGAAGGGTTCCCATGGCGTGAGTCCTTAAAATAGTATTAAGAAAAATCTTAATTATAATTTTAAGAGGTCTTCAATTTGGGGATGAAAAGCAGTAATTGCTTAGAGTAGCTTAAAGGAACACTCCACTATTTTAGAAAATAGGCTAATTTTCCAACTCCCCTAGAGAGTTAAACAGTTGAGTTTTACCGTTTTCGAATCCATTCATCCGATCTCCGGGTCTGGCGGTAGCACTTTTAGCTTAGCTTAGCATAGATCATTGAATCGGATTAGACCGTTAGCATCTCGCTCAAAAATGACCAAAGAGTTTCTTTATTTTTCCTATTTAAAGTCCCCCTGTGGTCAAATATTTCATCATCAAAATGACATTTAAATGTGTTGCCTTAAAATAGCTTGAATGTAACTCAACACCCTTGCCTCATTTACAATACGCTGATCTATGAATATGCAAATTAGTCCCGCCTCCACTCAGTCACACAGCCAGCGCCTCCTGATCCACTGACCTGATAATAAACGCAAAACAATGGCATACACGGATAATGGCTGATAAAACCATGTTTTTACTAGCGGACAACTACAGTGAATACTGTAACATAAAATACTGTAATTTTTGGTTTTGTGCTGGTATTGGTATATTTTGCATGCTAGTGATAGGACTTTTCCTCTTGGGTCTCTGAATATCCAGGTTGCCCTCCTCTATGGTGAGGGTGGAGATGCGCTTGTTATGAGCCGTGTTGAACTCGGTCAGATTCTGCCAAAAGAGCCAAACAGGGAAAAAACTAAAACACACTTTTGAGAGCTGTTCATTCAATCGCAACATCCATTCATTTCAATATATGTTCAAGCAAAAGTCTGAAAACACTTGACTGAATTTGTTTGTCATGATCTTGTAGTGGAACCTTCTACAATGAGAGTAAATCACTAGCATATGCGACTAAATTTCCATGGTAGGTGGCCAAATAATATCTATTGTTAATTAAAAGGCTGAGTATAAGTTTAACACAGATATTTCACTTACCTTTACACATTTTAAACACCGTGCACTTGAGAGTTTCGCTCTGTCATTAAAGCGCACTATTTTAATTAATCTCAATTGATATGTAGCATATTTGAAGCACCGTAAACTCTAGTGTGAAAGCATGCAGCTAGAAAGCACTGTGTTTCTCTCACACAAGCAAAGAGAGGGAAAGCAAGACAGTCTTACCACTACATGTAAATTATATTCTTTGGTAGTGGGCGGAACTTATGCGAAACCGTAATCTCATTGGCTGGCGCTCACCTATTACCATCACTAGCCGGGTTTCCATCCAAAGTTGCGAATTTAACTTGTGCGCAAAACTGGAATAAATCGCATAAAACATTTGCGAACAAGCATCGTTTCCATCCAACAAGTCAAAGAGAACAAAATCGTCACTATCTGACAAACTGGCACTACACATCACTAAGAAAAGTAGGAGAATATAATGATTTTCATATATAATAAATTACTTGCACCTCAGAGCGAGCAGACGAAACACAATGAATGCGGTCATTGCTTTTCGGAGGTGGATGCTGCTGTTTGGGAACGCAGTCGTGTAAGACATTTCTGGGAGGCAATTATACAGAAATACTTTGACGACAGACTTTGCTCGTGCATTTCCGAATGACCATAACAACATTTCAGATGTTGTGGAATGAGATCGGTCCGTTGGCTAGTCGGGTTTTGCCGTCCCATAGCCAAAGTCACATGACTTTTTTGATGCGCTTGGAGGAATTTATTCACAAAACGCATTTCTATCTCCCATTACTCGCATTAAAAGAAAAAAAAAAAACTCAAGAGAGCATAAACTTTTTTGCAAATTAAGGGATTTTTAGATTTTCATATATAATAAATTACTTGCACCTCAGAGCGAGCAGACGAAACACAATGAATGCGGTCATTGCTTTTCGGAGGTGGATGCTGCTGTTTGGGAACGCAGTCGTGTAAGACATTTCTGGGAGGCAATTATACAGAAATACTTTGACGACAGACTTTGCTCGTGCATTTCCGAATGACCATAACAACATTTCAGATGTTGTGGAATGAGATCGGTCCGTTGGCTAGTCGGGTTTTGCCGTCCCATAGCCAAAGTCACATGACTTTTTTGATGCGCTTGGAGGAATTTATTCACAAAACGCATTTCTATCTCCCATTACTCGCATTAAAAGAAAAAAAAAAAAACTCAAGAGCATAAACTTTTTTGCAAATTAAGGGATTTTTATTAGAAATTTGGCGTTTCCATTTCTCATGTGATACTTCAAAATGCGCATTAAAATAGGGTGATGGAAACATAGCTACTGTTTCGATTTTAGCCAATCAGTTCAAACGACGTGATTAATATTCATGAACCCAGCAGCTCATCAGATCTTAGTGCGTTTTATATGATTAGTAGTAGAATTAGTATTATAGGTTTCGGTATTATTGTTAGTTTTTTTTTTTTTTTACAGAAAAACTGAATGACCAGCAATGTATCAAGCACCACCACCAGTCCTAAAATCTGTTCAAATGACATAAGCATGTATGAATGAAAATGTATGAATGCATATCACATTAATTACTTAAGTTCTACCATAAAAATGCTTGATTGACTGATGTTAAAAGTATAGGCTACTTTAAGATCATATCACACATGAATGTATCTTAATGAAGATAAGCTGATTTGGTGGAATCTATATTTATCTACCTACACAAGTCTGATGAGTAAACAAAAATTTTTTTTTTTTTTTAATGTACTAGCCAGTGGTGATTTTATTGCCAAGGTAGGGTTGCCTAGTATGAGGGTTGTAGAGCTAGTTAATTTTCTCCTTCCCTTGTGGAGCATAAAAAGTTTAAATAATTCTTTAATTACTTTTTATTTACATTAGCTAGCCTAGTATTTGTTTTTGCGGTGATATCAAAATTGCTATTGAGAACAGCGAAATTTCACAAGTATATTAAAGGGGTCATATGATGCGATTTCAATTTTGCCTTTCTCTTTGGAGTGTTACAAGCTCTTGGTGCATAAAGAAGATCTGTAAAGTTGCAAACACTAAAGTCTCAAATCCAAAGAGATATTCTTTATAAAAGTTAAAGAGTCAGCCACGCCCTCCTAAAACGCCTCGTTCTAACACGCCCCCACATATCTACCTCACTATGTGAAAGCGAAACTACTTTGTTTGGTCTTCCAAAAGAGGACGATATCTGCTTCGTCATGCCTGGAGCTGATCTGTGCTGATCGCTGAGGAACTACTACAACTTTGCGCTGTCGATACGAAAGCCGGATCGGCTTTCACCGCGTCCAGCCCGGGGTCGTCACATGTGGTTGCCGCAAGCCCTCCGGACGCTCCTTCGTCGAATCTGCCGCCTCCGCTCACTCTAGGCCGCTGTGTGTGATGCTGTGTTTCGTTGTGAATGCCAAACTACTTTGTTTGGTCTTCCAAAAGAGGACATGACTAGAAATCTGTGGTTAAGTTGTATTTACAACACTGTTCCAGAACACTTCAACCCAAATATTCAGATGTGTGCAGCACATTTTATGGAGGACGTTTCCTGATCCTGGGAGAGTAGACTACAATGCCGGCTGTTCTGACTCACAGCCTGTTAAGTACGTTTTTTATATTTAAAGAATTTGCCACTGACGATTCAAACGCGAGTTTTGAGCAGTGTAGAGTAGCGCTTGTTGTTTGTCATTTCTTTGATCACAAATGCAGACATGGTTTTATGTTTACACGGCGCGATGCAACGCAACGCGTAAAAACACAGTACAAGTCATTATAATCCGTGATTATGTCCCAACTGGATGCAACAAATGCCTTGTTTATAATGGGTTTTACTGTTTTTGTCTTGTCCCTCCGGGACACGGCATCACAGTATGGTGAGGGGCGTAACATTTCCGTCACACGCTTGAGGAATTCGGCCAATCACAACGCACTGGATAGCTGGCCAATCAGAGCACACCTCGCTTTTTCAGACCGATGAGCTTTGTAAAAATTAGGGATGTAACTGTATGAAAATTTCATATCACGATTATACTGACCAAAGTTATCACGGTTATCAATATTATCATGGTTTTGTTAAAATTTGATTAAAATGTTCAAAAATAACATACACGCACTGAAAACATTTCAATAATTTTTATATTTGAAAATCAACAAACAACAAACAATTAGCAGCTGTATGCAATTTTTTTTAGCATGAACATTAAATTAACATGAAGCCCTAATAATAATAATAATAATAATAAATCACTTATACACACACACACACATTTTAAAAGAACAAAAGTTGATGGGTCGGGTGACTACTACTGGAATACTTGATTCTGTTCTGCTGCATTTCCTTCCTTATAATGACTGTTGTCAATAGCAGCAACGCATTATAACACAGCACACATCCATGTCTCTTGTATCACCGCAGAGGCGCGGACGTGCTCTCTCTCGTTTCATTCAAATGCAGCTTGCCATCTTGCGTCTCAGTTTTTGATTGTATTGAAAATTAAATCAGAGGAATATAGTATTAATACTACTATAATTTTGCTGTAGTGATCATATTGTCCTGACGATTGTTTTGTACACTGTTCAATGGATTTATAAACGGGTAAGATTTTAAAACATTAATCTCAATTCAATATTTCATGTCCCCGAATTTATATATTATTAGAGGTAAACAAAAAAAATGTGTGTAATAAGTTAACTATGAATATACAATACATTATCCCTTAAATGTCAACCTGATAGTTTGAACGTTCGTTCATCTTGGCTCAAAGCCACTTGTTGAGAACTTTTATTCACGGAAGCTTTGCGTTAAACAAGTGAGATAACGAAATATTTAATCTCTAATCAATATTTTTTGTCCAATTATTTGCCCAGTTAGTTTTGGTATTGAGGTAAACGTTACCTTGCATTCGCTATATAACAGTGGGTGGTGGTCACGAAGATGGCAGAGCAAATTTGATGCGTTCCCCCTTTTGCAGCGGCTTTCTTCTTGCAAGATCAGCAGACAGGGTGACTGTCCTCGATTAAATTGCCTTCAGGACTCTTGTAAAAGCCAAAATACGACCAGACCACCGATTTGGTCCTCTTAGATGGCTGAAAAATCTCCCGAGCGCTGTCACTGCCTTCCGCCATTTCCTCTCGTGCAAAAAAACAACAACAACAACACTGCATGCTGCTTCTGCGTCAGACTGATGCTGGCTGGACAGGGTTTACCGCGAGTTTTCAAAAGCGCGATAAATCAAACACGGTTTTGATGATAATTACAGCTATACTTGATGACATAACGCTATTGTGAAAAGAAAAAAAAAAAAAACCCTAATCATCGTCAATAATTGCAATTACAGTATTGACAAAAAAAAATTAAAAAAAATTTTTTTTGCCTTAAATCAAGGAACCCAATTGATATGGTAATAAAAAAATATATCAAAACAGGTCAGGTTTTGGAGTGTAAACGCAAACTCACAGGCATGTCAAATTTTTACTTAAACTTTTTAAAGCCATATGTAAAAAAACATTACAATAAAAAAAAAAAAAACAGTAATTATTTGAAGGCTAGAGCCTACGTGCCATTTTAAATATCCATTTACTTAAGCATTAACAAAACTCATTTAATTTCATATATATTTTTTTTTCCCCCCTTTTCTTTCAAATAGTTAATTAAAAAGTTCCAACAGTTTTTGCTATGGTACCCAAATTGGTACTGGTAACTGAAATTTTACTTGTATTGGTACCCATATACTGAAATGTTAGTATTGTGACAACACTAGTTTAGAGTTTCTATTTGCTCTCATACTATAGAATTCCAATACTTGTGTTATTTCAGTTTTGATGACTTTGTACTGTTATTCTGCAGTGATAGAGTAAGTTGGTGCAAACATGTACCTCCAGTTCAGTCTCTTCCTCTGGAAGTCCCAGAAGACCCTTCAGCTCCTCGTCGTCACCGGTTTTACTGTCCCCGACGCCGGAGCCCGGCTGACTCTGCGGTTTCTCCCGAATGGTGTAAACACGTGTGGATGCGCCAAACGACATGGTGGAGTCGATGGGAACCTGCTGGGGCTTATGGGGCTCCAGGCGAATGTGTCCCAGGAACGTACCATGTGCTACAGGAAGACAACATACCTGTTGGTTTACCTGTCGTCTCTTATCTGTATGACATGGCACGTTTGTCATTGGTCTGATGCACTTACTGCTGTTGAGGTCGATGAGAAACACTCTTTTCAAATGCCTGTGGTAGACGAGGGCCGCATGCACGCGAGAGCATGACTGATGGTCGATGGTGAAGTCACAGATGTCTGGGTTCCTCCCGAACAAATAATACTTCTTTTCATCAATGATCAGTTTCTGCAGAGAGAGCATCTCAGTCGGCCGTTTGCATTCAAATGTATTTTCTCTCAAAACTACTTTAGCACACACACACACACAATCAGATACAAGTGGGACTGAGTGCTATGTCAGTACAGAAAAGGATATGGTAGAAATGAGTTGACGGGGTTGCATCCAAGAAAAGGAAAAATAACAGTCCACTTTGGTTCAGGGTAACAAGCCTGTGCCCACTAATGAAAATGCTTCTATTTTCCATTTATCTACACTACATTTATAATGGTTTTATAACATGCCTTCTTCCAGACTAGTGGAAAGAAAATATCCAAAAATACACATTTAAACATTTATTTTATTACACTTCATCTATGTGTGACTGTATATACATATACAATACATACCTTTAAAGGTTGTGCTTTTTTTTTCAGCTCCACTTCAGTAACACTTACATACACCAAACTTTACAGTTTTACTCCTATCTATATTTTGAAGGTTTTTACAGAGGGATTTGTTCATAAATAATTCACCTACATTATATAACATTTCATTCCTAAAAACATCCCTGCTGTTGACAGTATTTTCTGACTTATGTGATAAAAGAGAACCCCAAAATTCAAGCTAAGTGGCCATGATACAAAATGACTCGTAGCATGATAACAGTATTTTTGTGATATGACCCAGACCCAGTGTGTCATAATGTGCCCTCGAGTTATAACACCTGAGGGAGCGACTCCCCTCTCAGAGCTTAAATCTCAGGGTCTTGTGTTTCTGTAGCACCGTTTGGACCCGACAGCCACCATCATGCATGCATCAGTGTGAGAAAACTCAACTGAGCCGCAGGTGGTCAGGTCAGTATCTGGTGCATCCCTGTCACATGCTGGACAAGCGGTCAAGCACTTAAAAAAAAATTATAATTTACCCACATCATTAAATTACACATGTGCGCATATATATATATATATATATATATATATATATGTGTGTGTGTGTATATATATATAGTGGTGTGAAAAAGTGTTGGCCCCCTTCCTGATTTCTTATTGAACAGGTGTGGCAGTAATCAGGCCTGGGTGTGGCTAGAGAAAATGAACTCAGGTGTGATAAACCACAGTTTTAACAGGGGGACAAACACTTCTTCACACAGGGCCATGTAGTTTTGGATTTTGTTGTTCCTTAATAATAAAAACCTTCATTTAAAAACTGCATGTTGTGTTCACTTGTTATCTTTGACTAATATTTAAATTTGTTTGATGATCTGAAACATTAAAGTGTGACAAACATGCAAAAAAATAAGAAATCAGGAAGGGGGCCAACACTTTTTCACACCACTGTATGCATGTATGTATGGGTGTGTGTGTATATATATATATTCGTTCAAATGTTTGTGATCAGTAAGATTAAAAAGAACGACATTTATTCAAAATAAAAGCTGAATAAAAGTATTAATTTCTTTAAAAAATAGAAAAAGAAAAAAAATCGGTAGAGTATACCCTTACAAAAGATTTATATTTTGAATAAATGGTGTTCTTTTTAACGTTTTATTCTTCAAAGAATCCCGAAAAAGGTATCACAGGTTCCAAAAAAATAGCAAGCAACAACAGTTTCCAACACTGATAATAAATCAGCATATTATACTGATTTCTGAAGATCATGTGACACTGAAGACTGGAATAATGATGCTGAAAATACAGCTGTGCATCACAGAAATACATTACATTTTAAAGTATATTAAAATAGAAAACGTTTATTTTAAATTGCAATTACATTTCACAATTTTACTGTTTTTTCCTGTATTTTAGATCAATTAAATGCAGCCATAGGGAGCAGAAGACTAATAAAAAAAAAAACATAAATTCTTACTGATCCTAAACTTTTGAACGGCAGTGTGTGTGTATGTGTGTGTATATATATATATATATATATATATATTTATCCTAGAGTTGTGGTCACCAACTTTGTACATAAGAGTTGCATTAAGATTCCTTAAAAAGTCTATGGAAAACAATAATAACACAGGTTTGGAACAACACGAGGGCGGAGTACATAGATTAGTTTTTTTTTAAAATCTGCATTTAACTAGAATTCTTAAGACTCGATGAAATACCTCGACAAGCTTGTCTCCTTTGACCACGTCCAGATGCAGTCCTGCTGGAGGCTTCCCTGCCCTGAAACCAGACCAAGCCATGAACATCTCCCAGTGTGCATGCACTACAAACACGGCCAGAAACAAAGCACACGGCATCTGAGATGCGCTGTTAAAAGATGGACTTTTAATAACCACAATACTATGATTGATTAAACGCAAGATACACTTCAACACACCGAATGCAGTTCGCAAAACAGGCTCGAGCTGCACAGTGTGCGGAAGATCTGCTAAAGAGCACGAGCGCTAACAGCTCGCTGTAAGATTGCGGGTTTTATGCTGGACTTATTCATGCACTAAATCCAGCAATTACAGGAGTGTTTTTTTACCATGATGGACAGTCGAAAGATGGGTTCGTCGCTGTAGTATTCGCTTCCATTGTCACACATTCTCCCCTGCTACAGACACGCCGAGCATCTTGGGTAATCCACTCAAAACTGAACGTCTTCCGGCTCATGAATATTAAAGACGCTCTTTTAGAGCTCGTGGTTGATTGGCTTAAAAGCAGACGTGAGTAAGTGGGCGTCACTCTCTCGGTGGTGAATGACAGACGCGAGGGAACGCCCCTTTTAGGAAGACTAACCAATAGCAGCATTGCGTAATTAATATTCATGAGCTTTGCCTTTGCCATAAAAGGATTGGGAGCTTCGCCTTCTTCCGGGAGACGCTTGGAAAGGCAGGATAACAACACGAGTTAAACCGCATAAACATTCATTATTAACGCAGTTGTCGTATGTCGAAACAAAAAGTACATGTATAATAATAGACATTAAACTGAAATGTATCTATTTCAATGAATGCCAGGAAAAGGCCCGTGTGCAGTGTTTGTGGTTCTGGGTGAGTCCCTCTGAGACTTCCTCTCTGAGTCTGAGCTCTAGTTGAAGTGCGCGCGCTGAAGAGCAGCTCAGTGTGTGTGTGTGTGTGAGTGTGTGTCAGCTGTGAGAGATGGGGGACCTCCAGGCTCTGCGAGTCTTCATCAGCTGTCTGGATCAACAGTCTCTGCCCCGCATCCTGCAGGTCTGCTCGGGGGTTTATTTCCAGGGTAGGTTCAGCTCTCTTTCTGCATATTCTGCATGACACTCTCTCCAGGCATAAAAAAAGCAGCAATGCTGTTCTTCACCCAAAGTTTGTTTATTTGGTCCTTAGCCATCTTCAAAAAACACATCTGTTCCATCTTTATTTGAGCCTCTAACTCTAGCACTTTCTATTCTACTTTATTAAAAAAAGACTAGCTGTCTATTTTTCTATTCTATCTACTTGTTTTTCTGTGTGTGTGTATATATGTATATATGTGTGTGTATATGTATATGTGTGTGTATATATGTATACGTGTATATGTGTGTATTTTATTTATATATATATATACATATACACCTTGCTACGTGTACTGTGTTAGGCTAACCGAGACTTGTCATTTGCACTTATATATTGTTGCTCTTTTGTTTGTTTTTATTGCTTCTACTGTCCTCATTTGTAAGTCGCTTTGGATAAAAGCGTCTGCTAAATGACTAAATGTAAATGTTTATTGTGTCGCCCTATGGCCATACATTTATTTTGCATTGTGATTGTTAATAATTCTTCCAGTTTTATGAATCTTTTAACCATCATCATTTTGTAGAATAAGAAACAAGGATGTTCTCTAAATGCTATGCTGTGTCGAGATTGACTTTAGTGCCAGAGACCTTGATGATGTACAATGAAATTAAACTCATTAGTTCTTTTAATAAGCATTTGTCAAATATTACGGCAACCCCTCTGTAGTAAATAGGCATGCATTTTGTTTTTTTAGAAATCTGACCTGCCCAGTATAATGTTTCTGTCTAGGGTAAATTTGACCTATTTTTGCATTTGAAAACACAGAGGGAAAAATACAAACAGACAATGTGCATCTGAAACCTGTCATGTTTTATGGCTGGGATCTCTGAAACCCCAAACCGAATTAATGCAACATTTGCTAAGCGTGCCACCGAGCAAGTTAAAATGTCATACTTCACCATAAACTGTTTTTGTGTTATTGAAATGGCTGCGGGGTCTCTCCGACCCCAAACAGGACATGAGGTTTTAATTTTTTTTTTCTTTTCATTGTCTTTGTGGTTTACGCTGTGCATCCTCAGCACAAGTAGATGTGTGACCGGATGAACAGTTGAGTTTAGTCTCATCTGTAGTTTGTGTTTCTTATAAAGGGTGATCTCAAATCAAATGTAAGCATAAGTAGTTCACTGCTATTTATACATCAGGATATGCTTCTTATACAGCATTATAGGCTTATTTGTCTGTCGAATGTGCTTTTACATGCATAAAACTGTAAAAGTCTGTGTACTTTAATTAAATCAGTGGTTGTCAGGAGTCAGATTTTACATTTAATGTCAAATGGTGACCCCAGCACAGTATCATAGTTGTTTGTAATACATAAATAACAAAAATGTATTAAAATTTGGTTTTGAGGATAAGTATTTGCACCACAATACTACTATATAAGGAATGTGTTTTTACCGTTTATTTTCCTATACACTTTCCCCATGCTGAACAGAACAGCCTTGCAACCCAACCCAAGTTGAGAACCACTGTTTTAAATAAAGAGGATGTTGTCAATTTGATTGAAGTACAGTATTGAAGTAAAATAAAACACAGGCCTCTAAAAAAAACTATAATCAGTACGATGCATCATCACAAAGGAATATCTATTTAATCCATACTCTCACAATTCTGGCACAGATAAGATAAGAAATGCAGCGATAAGTCCTTTGGCATGTTGGACTTTGCAATCAAAGTCCATTTGAACTATTTATATGAATCAACTCGTATTAAAATGAACCCATACGCTTATGCAAATAGAGCATGATGATGTGTTTTTTTTTCTTTCAGGGTCCATTTATGAGCTTTCAGGGAGTGAAGTGTGTTTATCTACTGGAGATTTGTTGAAGATCATTGGTTTAGAGCTCCTGTCTGTATCTTGTGAGGAGATTGAAACTGGAGCTTCATTTGAATTGCCTACTGGATATTCAGGTGAGCCGCTAAACAACAGCAAGCAAAAAAAAAGGAAACACTGATTTCAGAACAAGGGAATCAGAAGTGCTAAAATGGGAACTTGTTTGCAGGCTTTGGTCATAATGACCCCACAAAACCTGCCGGTGTCGATCCAGACTAATGTCCGGCAACTAGTAGTCTGAACTGAACGTTTTTAAAAGCGCAATCTAGCAAGAATGATGTAAAAACAACTAGATTACACAAACCAGATAGTTTTGCATTATAACAAACACTATAGGGCAGGGTTCCTCAATAGGCGGCCCGTGAGAGAAAAAAGTTTGGCCCGCGCTAATTTCAAATAATGTGGCATGAAAATTCAAACGCAGCATCAGAAAGCTACTGTAACTTACATCGTGTCAACACCGGACGCGAGCGGCGCAATAAAATACAATAGAACCCATCATAATCAGTGATGCTGTCAACACTAGATGCGACGCAACACGACAAATCCCTGACAGTAAACTGCTGACTCATTCTATTTACAACGTACTGACACAACGTTCAAATGATTTGCAATGCTTTGTCGCGTCCAATGTAGATACGATGTGACAGCAAAAACACGGGGAGTGTGTAGAAAAGAAAAGTGGACACGGAAAATAGATTATTCAACTGTGAATGGACTGAACAGTTTTGAGAGAGTGAGTGAGTGAGTGACTGATATCTTTGTTATGGAATAAACGTGTTGGTTCACAGTTTTAACGGACAAGTTTGCTTTAATTTATTTTCAAGATCTGTGGTAAAATTTCTATTGTTGCTGTCACAATGGCTATAAAGATAACGCAAAATAATATTCAAACTCACATTAGACACTTTTAACATTGAATAAAGCACATCATTACCTGAGATTATCACCGTCATATTTTGCATGTTGTTCCTGTCATAGTCAACCAGTCATAGAGCAGGGGTGTCCACTCCTACTCCTGGATCCTTGAAAGTTTAGCTCCAACTCTAATCTAACGTACTTAAACCAGCTAATCAAGGTCTTTGGGTTTACCTGAAAACTACAGGTTGGGGAGTTGGAGCAGAGTTGGAGTCCTTCACGTGTGGGACTGAGTACACGTCAGAGATGGGGTGTCCAGTCATGCTTCTGGAGAGCCATTATTCTGCAAAGTTTAGCTCCAATCCTAATTAAACACATCTGAACCAGCTACTCAAGGTCTTCAGGATTACTAGAAACATCCAGGCAGGTGTGTTGGGGCAGGTTGGAGCTAAACTCATCAGGACACTGGCTCTCCAGGTGTAGGATTGGACACCCTAATCATAGAGGCTTGATGCATGGAAATGGTCTTGGAATAAATATTTGTTCACGATTGAATTTTTATATTTACATACAGTGAGGAAGAACGTAGTCAAGTTCCCATCCAGCCTGGAAGTGGAAGTCCAGGACGTGACAGAACAGTTCCAGGATTTAGTTTTCATAACACCGCTATCAATGACTGAAGTTGCGAGTCAGCCAATGGAGTCCTTCCCAACTATGGCAGAGATCCTTGAAAGCCCAGAAGGCAATACGTTTTTTAATTGCAGCTGGTTTGAAGAACTGCAAAGAGGCAGGCGCCTCGTGTTACATAGTTATGGCACAACAACAATGATATTAGCCTCAACTCCAAAGGGGAGGAAGGGAAAACAGTACTTCATCATCTCAGAGAGCTATGGTGGAAGAATGAGAAGAAGGGCCCGGGAATTTGGATCAGTGTACGAGCTACACTTGGCATCCTCTCAGTCTCCAGGTTTGAAAGTAAGTGTGACTCGTCACTGCGAGGCGGTAGAGGAAGAGGGAATGCCTGCACTCAGTGTTGGCGAGCAGCTGGAGGTTTTGGGAATGGCGCTGATGGACGGACTCAAGGATTCATCAGGAGCTGCTCAGAAAATAGAAAGTCTAATTTGCAAACAGACTATGGAGCTGGACGACGAGGATGAGGAAGATGAGGAAGACGATAGTAAGGAAATCTCTCTGCCACTGTTTATGGCAGGTCACTTTGTTGAAAAGCTTTCAGACAACAAGAAGTATAAATTAACAGATTTAGCGAGTAGCTCTTTGCCTCTAGATATTAAAGTGATGACTCGGGATAAAGAGCTAGAAAAAGATCCCCTGATGGGGTTACCAGCACTTAAGCTTGAGGAGACTTTCACGGAGACCACGGTGTTGACGAGCCTACCAAATAAACCAGACTGGTGCTTTGAGTTGCCAGTACGCTGGTTACAAATGTCTCTCTGCTTCACCTCTGATCATCTGCCGTGGTCTAGTAATGAGTCCCCAGAACTTCACGTAGAGACCGTCACTGAGGTGACTGAGAAATTCTACTATGAATATCATAAACTTATAAGCAAAATTGAGGAACCACCTCCTCGTCCACCAAAGAGGAAGCCAGCCAGTTCAGAAGTGCCTAAGAAGTCACCCAAGTCTGAATCTAAATTATCAAACTTAAGCAGCGCTGTGACCAAACAGCTCGACAACCTGTCGCTGGGTCTGACAAAGGGTAGACGGGCTCCTGCTCCACCTCCGCCAAAAGATGTAAGCATGAACTTTTATTCACCCACTAAAACAGAAATGTAGAATTCAAACATGAATATCTAGGTTTCATAATGAGTCATTCTTAGATTATCTATTACTGCTTTTTCCAAATTCCCCTCTGTGGTGATGGAAAAATCAATTGCTCACATATTTACATGGTAAAGTTTAAAGTATAGTAAGGAATTTTTAAAAATAGTTCATCCAAAAATATGATCATCATCTTGTTCAAAATCCATAAAACTTGCTTTGTGAAACAAAAGTTGTTCGGCAGAATTCCCAACATGCTCTTTGCTATACAATGAAAGCGACTGGGGATGGACGCTGTCAACCTCCAATGACAAAGCACCATGGAAGTACCATACATGCAGGCTGTTCAAATTGTCAAATTTTGGGTATAATGTAAAATATTAAACCTATGTATATATACTAAGTCTAGTACTTCTTTATTACTTATTTAAACATATCCACAAACAATTGTGCTGTCCATACATAGTTGTATATGCACAGTCTACACAGCATAATAGATTGACAAAGAATCAATGTAATAACAAAGGCAATTAATTTCTTACTGTTAGTGACAAATAACTTTTCCCTCTTATATTTCCCTTTTATAAGGGCACATCTTTTCTATCCTCACTAAACACATCATCTTTGAATGTCAAATTATTACATTTAATGAATTCATTTAGAATAATAAGACACTATAAGACTGTTACCAATTAAATTAAATCAGTATATCAACAAAATCCATCTGCGCACTGGAGAGCTGGCAGAAAAGCTGCATCTAAAGTTTATTGCAAGACTGTTTATTGCAGCTCAGCAGGCATTTACACAGCAATTACAACTGCATAAGTAATGTTATGTGATTAATGTTTTCAAAATAAATGTCTGAATACAGAAATATAAAATTATGGAAAATGAGGATAGATTCATTAAGGACTGACTTTAATTCGTTGAATCATTCGCTCAACCATTTTGTTCAAAATGCGGATGCACTGAGGAATGAAACCCCACTGTGTGTTGCTTGGAGTATCCCAAGTTGTTATTATTATTACATTTCACAGTGAATTATTAAAATTTTCACTATTCAGATCTACAGCAGTGTGGTCAGTTATGAATCATGACAACAATTTTTCAATGTGAATATTAGTGCAAAGTAAACGTAGGGATCGTTTATTTTTCAAAAAGTCGTCACTTTTTGTTTTGTTTGGTGGAACAAAATACATGTTTAGAACAACACAAGAGTGAGGTAATGATGATCGAATTTTCATTTTTGGGTCAACTATTCCTGGGTTAACTATTGGTACATGCATAAATCATCATTATAAAGTCTGCTGCAAAACCATGTGGGATAGTTACTATGCGTGTGTAACAGAAAACACCATATCGTCACATGTTCCTCATTTGTTTAGCTGGCTCAACAGCTTATACATTTTTTTTTATTTTTTTATTGTGCAACTCCACTAGACTTCAGTCCAGCCCCCTCCACTGTTGCCTAGGAAAGGCATATCAACAGCAGAGAGCGTCAGTGCGCACAATACGTATGTCAAAAGCCCCACAGTAGCACACAAAGCAGGTTAGTTTCTCTTTGCATTTTAAGACATTTGTTGCTCTGAGTTTTAACCTTCATTTGATGACACTTGGAATTGCCCATCAGGGAGCTAAAATATCATGTATACTAATCTATTCTTTCCTTTTCACAGCACAGGGACTCTCTGACTCTGACTCTGACCATGACTACGAGTCTATCGAAGAAACATTAAAAAACCCCCATGAAAGCTTGTTTTATTAAAGGACACTTTGTATTTTGCTGTGTCTTCATAGAAAGACGTGCAAAAGAAATCAAAGAGTACCAGCTAATATGGAGTCTCCACTGCACCCAAACCTAATGCTAATCTGAAATATTTCATTGTGTCTAAATACTCAAAGACAATGCAAGGTTTAACAAATATACCATTTATAGTAAATTAGACAATGTCCTTTTTACAGGGCATGCTGACCTCTAAAGAAAGAAAATAAGTTGAAAGGAGTTTGCTTTTATTAAAATGACCAAAACAAACTGAAATTATATATATATATATTAGGGCTGTACAGTGTGACATATATGTCCATGTGCTATGAAAAAAATGGTTTGTGCGATGAATAAATTTACCACTGTAGCACATGTGCGATACGGTTTTGCATGTTCATAACACAGCCGCTTAATAGTGTGAAGTAATTTTGTTGTGCTTGTTTGTGTGTGTGAGATTGATTAAACTTGGTTTAGGGGTGTGCGATATGACGATTTTTGATGGTGGACGATTAAAATGTCTCCAAATTTATGTTTTTATTTACTCACTCATATGTTGTCCCAAACCTGTATTAATTTCTTTCTTGTGCTGAACACAAAAGAAGATATTTTGAAGAATGTGGGTAACCAAACAGTTGCTGGTCCACACTGACTTTGATAGTAGGAACAAAATACTATGGAATTCGATGTGGACCAGCAACTGTTTTTACCCACATTCTTCAAAATATGTTTTATGTTCAACAGAAGAAAGAAACTAATTCAGGTTTAAAACAACTTGAGAGTGAGTAAATGATGATATAAAAATAAAACAGTATGACAGAATTGACAGACAGATGACAGATTTTTCATTTTTTGGTAAACTATCCCTTTAATATAAAAAAAAGAAAGCAAAAATAAGAAAAATCACTCACTGCTCATGACTGATGAACTTTAATACAGTTGCTTAAAAAATTATAATTGATGTATATAGTGTTTTATTTTAATATTTAATGTTACTGCTAAATACTGTACCTGAAAAATAAAGCACTGCTTGTTTTATTAGCATATTATGTGTTTTTGTAATGTATATCTTTTGTTCTTATTTTTTAATTAACAAAGATTAAATAAAGATTTTTATCTTCGCCCACTTTGGCTTAAATGTCTGCCATTCTTTTTTTTATCTTATATTTTGTTACTTTGAAAGGCTTGTTTTACCAAAGGGAAATTAGATTGGCTGTACTGCTCAGGCAACTTGCAAAATAGTAAAACCAACATGACAAAGAATCGTGATAAAATCGTGATATTCCTGAATAAAATGGTGATATGATATTTTTGCCACATCGCCCACCCCTAACTTGTGCTACAACTGTTTGGCCTGTGCTACAAAACTTTTAACCTCTGTAGCACCAGTGCTATTATATATATATATATATATATATATATATATACACACACACTATGTAGATAAGAAATGGGTTTATTAAAGCAATCTGACTAAAAAAGGTAATTAGGCTTCATTATCTGTTGATCTGAAGTGGTCCTCATCAATGGTGGAGAAAATGTGTCCCTCGTTGCTGAGAAAATCCACAATTTGCCTGTAAAAAGGTAAAGAGAAGTGAGAATCAAACTGGAGTGAAAAGCGTTAGTATTTAATGACGAGGCGTTTGTGCAGCAGACAGATATTAGACTCAGAACTCGATTCACTTTGAAAGCTGGCCTGGGTTGCGTTTTTAGATGGCTTTTGCAGACGTATTTCCTAGTTCAGCGTCATACAGAAAAAGGGTGTTGACAAGCATTAGCATATTATAAGCTGCGAAACATCTGGTGGTTAAAATGAGACAAGTTCACAAACGCTATTTCAAATAAAAGCTGTTCCTTTGAACTTTCTATTCAAAGAATCCAGAAAAAAACTATCATGGTTTTTAGGCAGCAAAAAATTAGGAAGCGATATATCGTTTCAGCATCGAAACCGCGATGTGCGCATATGCGATAGTCACATCGCAGGATGTGTGATGTTTAGTATACTGATCGTTATGCCATATGGACCAGGTACCAGGGTTCGAAACGCAGGTGATTCTTGGATTATCTGCATAGTTTAACCATCCTACAATGAAGGTTCATCATTTGCATGTGTTGTCCTGTCGGTTTAAACATTCAAGCGATTTTAAACCATTAGAGCGCGAGAAGGTGTGAACATTATTTGTGGATCATTTTGGCAATGTTCACTCAAAAACTGAGATGCAAAAGCTCAGGTGAAAGAGGCCTATAAAAGAAAGGAAAAGGAGAAATACAAAACCTGTGCTAACTGAAAGAAGCCAAGCTGATAAAAAGATTGAATCCAATATTTTTAAGAAGTTCAGAAGTAATTTTTTTGTAGGCTGGTCATTTTTGAGCGGGAACACCACAAGTGCATCAACAATTATCTTTTTATTTATTTTTTTATTTTTTAAACCCAGTGTGAGTAAAGTTTTAGTCCATTGCGATAACATTAACCTGCATTTTCAGGAAAATATAAATCCTCTCTGTGTCAAAACGACCGAAACACAATATGAAGGTTAACTAGAATTAACAAAATAGAATAAAAATGTGCATTAAAGAAAAACAAAACTGTAATTTACAAATGCATTGCTTCAAAACTAACAAAACCTAAACTGAAGTCAATTTGAAAATAGTATAAAAGATCAAAATTAAATTAAATGCAAAACTATGAACTTTGTTAAAGACAGAACTAAAAGCAGAAGGATCCTGAAATACCATTTCTATGCAAGAACAGAGTCAGCCTCAGATTAGGAAACAAAAGTCGCAAATATGATGAGAACTTAGCTCAAGTTCATGCAAAATCTCTCGTGAACCTAACTATGACAGAATAGAGGAAGCCTCTTCAGGGAAATAAAGTTTGTGCTATTCTCAAAGTTCATTTGGCTTAAAAGAAGAGAAACTGAAACTCAGAAAGAGGAAGCGAAACGTCAGATCCCTTTCTGGATTAAGGCCCACTACAAATAGCCCTTTCTGTATAGAGACGTGTCCCATGAGGAGAGGTGCTGATGACTGTGACGCTCATGCTGCTCAGCTTCTATAACAACTAAGTTAGCTAAATAATAAAAAAAAAGCCCAGAACTGCTTTTCTGACTGATATGCCACAAACAATGTTAACCATTTGTGCATTCTCTAACACGCATATTTTAGATTCACAATTCATTTAAAAGTCTCTGGTGTGTAAAAATAGTAAATATCATCATGTCCTCCTGTTTTTTTTTTACCCGAATAAAAGTTATAGAAGCATTAAATAGCAAATAAAGAAACTTCATTCTAATGCTCATTATATTAGCGTTAGCCGCGCTTATGCTAACGATTAACTACTCCAATAACAGCGTTCATTTCAATCCAACATTAAAATTTAAATAATTAATAATATTCATAACAGAAGCGTTCTTTCCCCCAGACTTGCACTCTATTTGTGGCGGCATATATATGCAAATCCATTCTCTGCCAGCAGGAGGAGCTTGTAGAGCAGGAGAAATAGCGGTTCCCCCGCTAACGGCTGTAATCAAATAAGCGCTCAGCTCACAAACGCTGCTCAGGCATTACAGGCAACATGAAATGAAAATGACAGCCATAATTTTCTGTCGGAAAACAGCCAGTTTCCTTCAGAAATACAGCGATATAAAAACACCCGCACCGGATTTCGACTTTGACACATGCAGTGCTCATGTTTATTCAACGAAGTCAAAGCCTTTTGGAATATGACAAGAAAATGGTTTTAATTAGTGCTGGGCATTGACGCACATTTAAAAACTATTTTAAATGAAGTTTCTACTCCAAATAATTTTCTGAAATATAAACATTTAAACAGTGGTTGTGATGATAACTTGTTTTCATGACATTTGTTCAAACACTAAATGCTGAAAAACGTATTACATAAGACATGATAAATTTCATTAAGTTGCACTGTATCGCTCAACATACTTTATGATGCTTACTCACATTTATTTCATGTTATAACTAGCAGTAAAGAGGAAAATCAAAGTTTGTAATCTAGCTTGTAAACCACTGGCTAGCTAGTACGCTAACTGACGGTTACAGTAATGCTCGTCAGTAAAAACTAATAAAATCTGCCTTTTCTTTTCCTCAAAAACGATAGCACACACTGTGACAATATAGATGCTTGTAAGCCACTGGCTAGCTAGTACACTAACTGATGGTTACAGTAATTCTCGTCAGTAAAAACTAATAAAATCAGCTTTTTCTTTTCCTCAAAAACGATAGCACACACTGTGACAATATAGTTTATAAGTAGATCACCAAAAACTTACCTAATCTTGCGGCCACATTTCAAACACGATCTGACTCTGAAGTGCAGTTCGTTGTCTTCTTCTGGTGATGTTTTGTTTAAACCAACCTTCCACCACCTACTGGTCTAGAGTTATTAGGGCACATAGTGGGATTTAATCCAACAAACTAGATGCTCTTAAGTACTGTTTACTAAAGTTGTTTAGTTTAACTATTGCATCCACCTGAAAGTTCACATAACACAGTGTAATTAAGTAAATTCAACAAATTTGTAAAAATCAGTTATGTTTACTCGCTTTTCTTAAGTAGATTCAATGATTACTTTTTACAGTGTAGGATACTAATATTGTTAAAATGTTATGAATTGAATTCATTAGATATCTTTTTTGATTATTAAAACTGAATCCAGAAAAATTACAAATGGAAAACACAGAATTTCGGAAGACATAAAATGGATTTTATAGAACCCTAATTATTATACTGTCCCATATTATATATGATTTATGAAAATCTTCCATTCAACATCTCAGATATTTCAATCATTTCAGATATTTAAGACTTTATTTATGGGCTTAAATTCTGAGCCGTACATTTCAAGACATTAAAGACCCGCAGGAACCCTGTATTGGTTTCATGAGTAACCATCCCTGTATGACTAAAGATGTCATAAATGACTAGCTGTGAGCTACAGCATGAGCGAGTGAAAAGCAGAAGTGTCGCGGGAGAAGGACAGGCTAGTCTCACCGTCTTCTGTGGTTTGCTCTGCTGCACATGAGCGTTCACAACCTCCAGCATGTGTGAAGTGACTTCATTCATATCCTCCAGCACTCGCACGCTGAACGCAACCAAAGGACAGTTATTCTGCAATGAGAACAAACAATCAGTTCAATACATTGTGAAGGAGAAACCGCATTGAAGAAAGAGGAAAAACACACGAGCGAGGGCCATACTGGTGTTTTATATACTCATACACACATACACTACCGGTCAAAAGATTGGCTTGTAATGTTTTTTAAAGAAGTCTCTTCTGCTCATCAAGGCTGCATTTATTTGATCAAAAATACAGAAAAAAAACAGTAATCTTGCAAAATGTTATTACAATATAAAATAATGGTTTCTATTTTAATATCCTTTAAAATATAATTTATTTCTGTGATGCAAAGCTGAATTTCCATCATCATTACTCCAGTATAAAGCGTCCCATGATCCTTCAGAAATCAGTCTAATATGCTGATTTATTATTAGAATTAAACAGTTGTGCTTTTGGAAACTGCAATACTTTTTTCAGGATTCTGTGATGAATAAAAAGTTAAAAAGAACAGCATTTATTCAAAATATAAACCTTTTCTAACAACAACAATTTAACACATCCTTGCTAAATAAAAGTTTTAATTTCTTTCAAAAAAAGAAAGAATAAAAATGTACTGACCCCGAACTTTTGAATGGTAGTGTATGTTGTTAGAAAATATTTCTATTTTAAATAAATGCTCTTCTTTTTAACTTTTTATTCATCAAAGAATCCTGAAAAAAAAGTATCACAGGTTCCAAAAAAAAATATTTGGCAGCACAACTACTGCCAACATTGATAATAAATCAGCATATTACACTTATTATTATTACAAATAAAGGTGCTTCACGATGCCACAGAAGAACCTTTTTGTCTAAATGGTTCCATAAAGAACCTTCAACATCTGAAGAACCTTTCTGTTTCACAAAAGCTTCTTTGTGGTGAAAGAAGGTTCTATAGATTACAAAAAGGTAAGAAAGAAATGGTTCTTTAAAGAACCTTTGACTGAATACTTCTTTGTGGAACCAAAAATGGTTCTTCTATGGCATCGCTTGAAGAACCTTTTGAAGCACCTTTATTTTTAAGAGTGTATACTGATTTCTGAAGATCATGTGACACGGAAGACTAAAGTAATGATGCTGAAAATTCAGCTTTGATCACAGAAATAAATTATATATGCATGTATATTAAAATAGAAAAACGTTATTTTACATCATAATAATATTTCACAATATTAAATGTTTTCCTGTATTTGTGATCAAATAAATGCAGCCTTGATGAGCAGAAGAAACTCCTGTAAAAAAACATAAAAAATCATTCTGATCCCAAACTTTTGACCGGTAGTGTATATTTTACTGAAGATGTTCAGGTGGCCATGATGCATAGAGACTAATGGGGAAGTAGGGTTACTCTATTTCACGAAACACTCTTAAATAGTGTAGAAGGGCGTTATGAACCTGCGGGCTTCACTAACACTCTTCCAGCAGAAACCGAACAACATACTGCGATAAACGCAGAGGAATATAAATGGTGATCTTCAGTGCATGAACTAAAAAAAAGAACCTATCATTTCTCAAACTGCAGAATGCACAGGAAGTTATATTTTAATAATTAAATAGTGTAACAACGCCAACATCCATTTTTCCATTTTTCCAGATCTTTGTTGCTTCTAAATAAGGACATTTAAACAATTTTATCTGGGCTTCTGCAGGTCTGGTGAATTTTTAAAGACCTTTTTAAGACCAAGTAAAGAAACAATACAGAATAAATTGAAAGAAGCACAATATGTCAATATGTTCTCTAAATGTAAATGTCTAGGAAGCACCATGTCTTTCATTAGCAATACTTTAAAGTTTAAAAACACAACTTCCATCAGATCTCCATTACTTTTTACATCAGCTCTGATCCCAAACACTCAAGTATGGAAGTAATTTCTGCTGTACCTTCAGATGAGCCAGCAAAAAAAGTGAAGTTCTTCTTCAGTGTTTTGTCTTTTTCCAGTGCAAATGACTAAAGATACTTAAATCAAGACATATTTACTTGAGAAGCAAAGAGACATAAAATAAGTAGTCATGTTTTATGAGACACGGATAAAAATCCACTTAATTCAAAGGGAAAGCAAGTTTTCATTCCACAATGACAGATAGTTGTTCTTGTTTAAAGCATAAACTCAACTCTGTTCACATTTTCAAGAAATTTGCATCTCAAGTAAATTAAAGTACCCTGATTTAAGGATATTGAGATATTTGTTAGGGCTGCACAATTAATCGAATTTCTAATCGTGATTACAATTACGGATGCCACAATTACATAATCGTTCAAAGCAGCAATTAATCGTTCAAAGCAGCAATTAATCGTTCAAAGCAGCAATTAATCGTTCAAAGTCAACTTATGTTATTCTGTGTGCTTAAGATGTGTTTTTTTCTCTTTCTACAGGTTATCTTAAAGATTTTAAGTTTTCGTATAACATTATAATATCATGCAAATCTTTACTTTTTTTTTTTTTTAAATAAGAAACCAATCCAATGTATGGTTGACATTTCATACTATAGAAAAGCAATACAAGTTTTTCATTTTCATATAAAAATATGGCATGCAGTTGCTTCAAACAATGGTATAAACATCATTCAATGTGGTAATCGTAATTAATAATTGCAATTACAATTTCAAGGGAATAATCGACAATTATGATTTTTGTCATAATCGTGCAGCCCTAATATTTGTATTGAAAAACAAAAATACTGATGAAGACATTAACTTTCGCAATGCATGTGTCACGAATTCGGTCCATGGACTTCCGTTTATTCACCACCAGTGGTCACACTTTCCATTACATTGACTCTCGCACAACACAAACTGTTGCATAGCAACCCGGACTACATATCCCATCATTCTTTGCACGGTTTGCACACTGCACTGATTGCACTCATTGCACACAGCTGTTTCTTATCATCTAACTCACTATATAACACCCACTCAAACTGCCATTCTCTGCTGAGTATTGTTTAGCCTGTACCCCTTTCCGAGTCTCCGTGTTTTCCTTGTTTTGCCTTGCCTGTTTTTGCGGCTTCTGATCTTTGCCTGTTTTCCTGGATTTTTCCCTCTCGTCTCGCCCCTGCGATTCTGTCTGCCGATCGGTGACCTACGCTAGCCCTAGGACTATTCTTGTGTTTTTGCCCACCGTATACCTGTTTGCCATTGTTCGACCCTGCCTGTTATACCACGTCTCTTTAATAAAAGCTTGCAGATGGATCCACACGTCTCACGTCTCGTCAGCCCCGTTACAGCATGCAAGATGTATTGCTATGACTATGAATTTAAGACTTTCTGCTCCGATTTAAGACATTTTAAAGCCTTTTAGTGGAAGGACAAAGGGCGAATTAAAGCGTAAAACTATTTTAAGACCTACAGAAACCATACAGATTCCACTCAAAAGGACAATCTGATAAAACAAAGCTGAGCAGTGAAGACAAATCTATTCACTCACTTTATTTACTCATTTATATGCCAGTGTTGTATCATTGAGATACTATTGAACTAGTTCAATATTTTCTATTTTCATTTGAAGTTTTAGTAATTTTGTTGTTTTGTCATTTTTAATTTCAAGTTTTAATTGTAGTAACTTTAGTACATTCTTAAAATTAATGAATACTAACTGAAATAAAATGTATAGGATATATATATATATATGAAGAGTTAATTTGCAAAAACCCATAACTCCATTTTTTTTTCAGAAATCACATTTTTTTATTGCGCATTCCAAGTAATATCAATCAAACTGCAGTTGGGTTGTTTTGATTAAGTAATAATAACTTAAACAAATACAGGTAATTTACCAAATTAAAGTTAATTGAAAGTATGTTTTTTTTTTACATATTAAAAGTTAGTTTTATAGCAAAAGCAGATAACAGAGTTAAAAAAAAACACTTGTTTAATTTTTGTAAAAAAAAAAAAGATTTGTAATCAATATAGATGCTTGACAAGCATTGTTGTGATCATAAACTGTATGGATGTGATTACACGCAATACACAGAGCTTTCCCCTCACCATTGTAACACGCTGTTTTTGCAAGCTTCCATGAAAACGTTTCTGCTTTTATTTTCCTTTTTCGCCTGAAGAAGATATCACAGATTCATCAAGTTTGTCGAAATTATCAGAATCAGAATCAGAATGAGCTTTATTGCCAGGTATGTTTACACATACGAGGAATTTGTTTTCATGACAGAAGCTCCACAGTGTAACAGAATGACAGTGACAGAACAAAAACACAGATAATAAAAAATAATAATATACAAATATACAAAATAGACAATGTACAAAATTGCAAAAACACAATATATAATATAGACAATTTTGTATGTGCAGGTATATGTACAAATTTGAAATGTAAATAAGTATGTGTGTTAAATAAATAATGTATACTAGTGTTGTGTGTTCCACGATTATTGTTAAGTGTTCATGAGATGGATGGCCTGAGGGAAGAAACTGGTCCTGTGTCTGGTCGTTCTGGTGCTCAGTGCTCTGTAGCGTCGACCAGATGGCAACAGGACAATGATCAATCCTCGATCACTTTTAGTCAGCTTTGAGAAACTCCTCTCAGTAGGGATGGGCGTATCGATCCTAAGTATCGATATATCGATACTGACGCGAGTATTGAAAGTATCGATACTCAAACTAAAAATATCGATACTACGGTGTGTTTTATTTACCAGTGATTTTGTTTACTAAAGTGACCATAGTTCCACTGTAGTATTTGTAGATTTGAATCATGTGTAAACAAAAAACACATTTGAACCATGTGTAAACAAAAATATAACCTAATAAATTACAATTAAGGTGTATTGAATGTTAAAATGTGTTTTAAACAAAGTTAAGTGGTTATTATTACCCATTTTACTCTTAGTAATTTAATAATTTAATAAATTTAATAAAAGTTTAGTTCAGATGTATCATATCGGTATCAATATCGACGATACTGCCTTGAAAAATATCGGTATCTTATCGAAAACAAAATAAGTGGTATTGCCCATCCCTACCTAGCACGTCTTTTTAAAGTGAAAGTAGCTTGTCACCTGACCTGAATACAGCGCGCTGATTCGCTAAAATGGACTTATCGGCTTCTGTTCAAAAACAACAAGGGCCCTGGGGCTTCTGCAGTAAAACGTGAACTCGCGATGCCTTGAAAGTGGACAATACCGGCTTTTTTGACAAAATGTGTTTAGGGTTTAGATCGCGCTATATGTGGAGAATAAGGCACAGCAATCAGATATTTTTTTTTTAAAGTGGCGTCAATCGGTTTTTGCAAATAAACTCTTCATATATACAATATATATATATATATATATATATTTAAATGTATTTATTTATATAAAAATGTTCAAGTAACGAAAATGATTGTTAATGGTTTTAACTTCAGTTAACTACAATAACCCTGTTTTGTTCCCTAAAAATCCCATTTCAATATGATTACAACTCTTGAAACAATGCTCAAACCCATCTAAAGCAGTACCTCTGTATCGATCCACTGCTTCACATCCATGGGAGCCGCCGTCATGTCATCCACCTTATACTGGATGCTGATTGTGCATTTATCAGTGCTTCTGGTCACACCAACAATAGTTACCTAGACAGCATCAGACAAAAAAAAAGCCTGACAAAAAATAAAATAAATAAAGGTCCTGTGTGTATGTAGACATAGAGAAAATGCTTCCATAAGTGTATCAGCCATGACTGCTTGCAGAACTACTTTCCTGTTTCATCATTATGACCCAGGCGTTTATGTTCAGCACACTTCGACACAGAGAGGTATTCATGCGAAGACAGATTATTCTACTTTTCAGAGCTGTCAAGTGATGCAGGCAAACTTGTTTAACACATCTTCTCATATTTTGAATTTGGCTGGAAGTTAGTCTATTTTCTACTTTTCAAATGTAGTGCGTTCAGTTAATAATTTTTTATTATTAGGAACAGACTTTGTCAGCGCAAACAAAACACCCTGCCTGTATGACACTTTCATTTCACTTTCATACATGTTTGCAGTTGTTTGCAGATCATCAGTGGTTTTTCTGTAATGTACAGAGAATGTGTGAACATGTTTGCAAGGTTGGGAAGATTAAGTAAACCACTGGCCAGAAAATGTATCGATTTAAGAGATAAGCTTTTATTGGGGGATTTAAAGTTGTGATATCTGGCAACTGCAACCATGAATGCTTGTGGAGGCTTGTTAACGATGCAAGATAACACAAATGTGAAATGAAACGTTTTCAGGATAAATAACCAGTGTGAAAATAATTGCAGGCGATTGTGCTTAAACGAGAGAAGCAGAAATCATGATCACAATTAAAATGCAATCAATTGTGCTGCTCTACCAAAACAAAAATATACAAAAATACTTGACAGAGTCGTGATTAAAACATACATTTATTTAATAAGATAAAAGCGGTGAGTTTGTTCATGTGTGATCTGTTCGGAGCATCATGACTTCATCTGGTCTCTCCTCTCACACAGATACTGTGGCATTATGGTATTTTAAGGGTAGTTATTTAGAGAAGTGGTCCTGTGATACACAAACCACAAACAGCGTCCTCAGGCGGTACACAAAACACATGCACACCGTTTTAAAAGACATATTTAATCCTTGAGCTGGAAACTCCAGCTTCTGTGAAAACAGGTTGACCAACACATTACAAATCTAGTGAAATACTGTAATCATTTGCTTATTAAAAATGTAGAAAATGATGCGAATGTGAAAAAGCGTAACTGATGCCCATTGCGTTCCCAGATGCGCTAAACTCACAGCACAGGCAGAAATAAGAGTTCACTGCATTCACTGTGAACGGAGCCGCGGAAAACACCAGGGGCCAGTTGCATAAACTGCTCAGACTAGTCTTAAAAAGTTAGTCATCTAATATTTTTTTTCTTCAAGACTGGTCATAACTTTTTTAATTAAATTACAGAAAGGTAGATTGGTCTAATCTGAATGTCAGAAGTACGACCAATTACCCCTTTTCTACTGTTAGTTGGTGAAACTAGTTCCAGTCTTAAAATAGTGGCTATGTTTATGCAACTGGCCCCGGATCTCGTGAGCAAAGTCTACGCTTCGCTTTGAAACACGCAGGCCGCCACAGTCTAGTTAACATTTTTTACAAAAAAAAAGTTGGCCCCCAGAATATTTTGTTGTATGAATATCTGACCATGCAATGCCAAAAGAAAGAACAGAGCCTCTGTTTTTAAACAAATAAAAAAAACTTGTTTTATTCTAGCTTCATGCATTCTCTTTTTGACAACTGAATGTGGGTCGTTTCATAAAAAAGCAACATTTTGAACAAAAATCGCGTTTTTGTCAAAGATTACACCCGGATCGGATTCAGAGCACACCAAATACACAAAATAATGATCTTTTAAAAAAGCATCATATGACCCCTTTAATACTCAAACAGTCCGCAGTGCAGTCATTTAACGCTAGATGGCAGTATTACACAGACGGCTGGACAGCTTTTATTTATTTATTTGTTTGTGTTTTATTTATTAGTTTTTACAGTAAAAAATTTAATGAATGTTAAAATGGGGAAAAAAAGTAGTTTTGACCACAACTCCCTTTTTAGTTTCCCCCCATGTTTAAGCTTTTTAAAAGTCCTATGGTGTGAGAAACTGATTTATAAAAATACAAATATTTTGAGATTATTAGGTTTTCATTTAATGTAAACTTATTAACTCTGCATGCATGATAATTATATCCTCCTGGGACCCAGGCATAGACTTTTGTCGTCTGTAGAGGGCATCATATTTGAGTGAGTTTCTCTGAGACACAACATGCCACAGATTCTGCACAGAGCACATTCAGGGATTTTTAGAGATATGTTTGGAAGTTTGATCATAAACACTCCCTCTCCTTGGTCTTTAAAAATGACGGATTTTGACAGAGTGATCAAATTTAGCACTCTTAGGGAAATATGATAATGTTTTGAAAAAAAAAAAAAACATCAAAGAAAAATGTTATGGGGGTTTCAAATCGGAATATGACTTTTTGTTCCGAAGCAGGGCATAATTTCCATGCATGTCTTTTGTAGAGGACACCAGGACAAACATCATGTTAATCAGGCATTTTGGGGAGACGCAACAATGAATTATAGATCAATATTCCCATGAAATATGAGATATTCCTATGAAAATGTTGCACTTCTTTTTTTCATTATGGTTTGCCCCAAGGACACATTAATATGCAAATTAGATGCAATGTATAGATACATTGAATAAAATGGGAAAACCAATTTAAGGACATTTTATGCACATATTGCATTAAGTACAGTACTATATCCAATCATTCTGTTATATCTTTCATAGCATAGTTGAGAATCATCTTTGTACAAAGTTTGGCTAAACATTGCCTGAAACCTAAAAACTGATTGGTGAATGAAAAAATAAAGAATTTATTTTGCCTATACCTTTTCAAGTCTTTTTTTTTTTTTTTTTTAATAATGTAGTCTTGGCGTCCTCTACAAAGTACATAGAATAAAATATGTTGTATAAAATATGTAAAATATGCAAAAATGCTTCTTGCTCCAACCAATGTAATGTAAAAAAAATAAAAAATAAATTCACAAAACTTTTTTTGGTGCCTATTTTTTTTCTCCAACCCTTGTTTGTATTTGTTAAATTCAGCAAGTAATTTGTCCTTATTCCCACAGTTTTGCCAAAGACATGAATAACATCTGAATCGTGTTGACGAGAGGTGTGCTGTCCTTTACTGATTAATGGTGGACAATAAAGCAGGGGAACAAATCTATTGGCTTAATAGAAAGAAAGAAGGACACTAGTAATATCTAGAGATCTGAATATCATAGAGACTAGATCTTTTCAACACCCTAGCATTGAGGCAGCATGTTTTACACGGACAAACATCTCTGAAATCTAACTCTGTAAAATTTACGGTAAAAAAACAGCAGCTGGGGTTGCCAGAATTTTACCGTAAAAAATACAGTAGCAACATTTTAGGTTTTACAGCTTTAACTTAATTTTACTTCATTTACTTAATTTAACTGATATAATGTTAATATACCAACCTACTGAAGTACTGAAACCTGTTTTGTTCCTTTGTAATACGCTGATAACCACCAAATGCAGGAGGTGATGAGAAAGTCACATGATGAACCAAAGCCCATCACAAGCAGCTTTTAAATACTAACATATATAGAAGGAGCACAGCGTCATTCACACAAACACTAAACACCATCACGGTAACACACATGAAACTGAAATAATGCAATAAACATTCATTTAACAACATTAGGTGTAACACACAACCCTAACATACAACACTGATAAGAAAAAACTAAGAAGAAACCATTATTTCAACAAAAAAGCATCAAATTTGAAATGTAACGCAGGGAATTCTGGGAATGTCAATTTACGGTTATTCACTGTAAATTATACCGTCTTTTTCCACTTCCAAAAACGGTATACTACCGTAAAATTGCATGTAATGTCCAATACAGTTTTTACCGTATATAGTAAGGGAATTTACCGCTAACCATTTAACAGGTTTTTACTGTAGCATTTTTACAGTCTTTTACCGTTAAATTCCCGGTCATTTTTTACAGTGTAGTTCATTATCATGAATGTTTCACCGCTGACTTTTTATTTTACCCTCACAGCAGTGATGTTGTTAGGGATGATGCAGATGTGCAGATCGAGTCCAAACAAGACTCCGTCCTGAGCGTCCAGACCCCTGACAGGACCTATCAGATGAAGCTAACGCCTGCTGTGAGTCTGGTGGAGACGTCGTGCCAGAGGAGTCCTGGAAACACTCAACACGGATCACACTTCAGACTGCGGCTCAAGGTGGAGCAGCCGACAGGTACACGCTGATTATTACCCATAAGCACTTTCTCACCAAACCCAGGTCAGCATGTGGCGGTCTTTAAAGAGTCACTCTTATTGGATTTCCTTGAGGAATGTAAGTAATGAGTGCATGAGCTGCTCACACACCAGATCAACAGAGATTATTGAAGAACAAAGCGAACTCCAGTAACGTGACCTGCTTTACTTCAGGTCAGAACAGCTGAGAGTCAGCTGACTCAAAACTCTTTATCCCAGAAAACCCAATTTATGTACTTTTTGGTTTAAATTGAACATATTTATACTGTCTATGTTGCATTTAACAGTCTTTGCGACACTGTACAGCCAAGTTGTTACTGTTAATTAAAGCGGATAGTTAAATGAAATGAGGCTTATATAAAAAAATATATAAATATTAGATGAAAAAATAAAATAGTGTTAACTAACTGTGTGATTGCATTATTTGCATGATAGCCGTACTGTCTGCACATAGACATTACTCTGACACTCACCTCTGATAACGTTTTTCTACTTGTGATTGTATTATAGAAACATGGACTTTCTGAAAATGCGAGACGCTATACAAATAAACGTGAAATTAAATGAATTGAATAGCTGAGAATTTTTGCAAGGCTTTAGTGTTGTTATTTTGAACTAAAACCACTTGATTAATGAAATAAAGCTGATAAAATATAAATATTAGATAAAAAACTTAAAGCGCTTAAACTGAAATGAGAAATGTTGCCTTGACAACTAATTGAAATACTAAAAGTACTAAAATTGAAAATAAATAACTTAATTAATTAAAACTAAATAGAAATATAAATGACAGAAACACGTAACAAAATGTATATATTAATAAATAAATACTATGTCAGAGCAACTCAGCTGACTCAATCATACTCAAAAATCTTTTTTATTTTAGCATATTTTTTATACTGTTTGTTATATTTGACAATCTTTGAATAGCTTTACTGCAGCGTTATTTATTTTTTTGTTAACTAAAACTAATTGTTAATTGAAATAAAGCTCAAATAAGATTAAATATAAATATCTGATAAAACACTTAAAGCACTTAAACAGAAATTAGAAATGTTGCCTTGGCTAATAACAGAAGTACAATGTTTAAGTTGAAGCTCTAAAATTACTAAAACTAAAAATGAAATACAAATAAATTAAAGCTAAATAGATTTATGTATATATATACAGTATATATATGACAAAAATGCATAACAAAAGTACTACAATTTAAAACTAAAATAAAATATTAATAAGTAAAATTGAAATATTAATAAATACTCTAATAGTTTATAAATAATACCAAAGACTATATATTACCCAAGACGTGTCACTCCTATAGTTTTGAATGGGGGAAAAATGCAACGCTCAATATGGCCGCTCTATTGAACGAAGCACCGCCTTCTGAGTAAAAGAGCCAATCGCTGATCGGTAAAGTCATCGCATCACTGCAGCTGCTGTTAGAAGCCCAGGTTACTATCCACCTTATTTTTCCCATAAGAGCGGCCGCGGCCATTTGTAAATTGAATGTGTCTGGCTTCTGGTGTCTTTCACTTCCAGCTATTTTTAGCTGTACAAAACAGCTTGTTTTGCTACTTGATATATCATATTAATTTCATATATTATCTTAATTATGAACACACTGGTTTGTAGTGCAAACAGCTTTACTGTTTACCGCACTTTGTTATTCTTCTCATTATTTCCCTACAGCGGCTAATGAACCGGACGTCTCGCACATTCACAGAAAACGGCTTACTTCCATTTGAAAAATAAGGTGGATAGAAACAGTCAGCGTTCTGAGACATGCACGTCCAGCCTGGAAAATACGCTTTTTTTAACGCTATTTGAGCAAAAGAAACAACATTTATGAGACAGTTGTTGTCAGATTTCTTTGGTGATTTCAAATATGAAATTTAATCGTAAGCTTGGTGACCAGTTTTGGAGATTTTGATGTTTCCCCATTCAAAGAGACAGAGGCGTTTCAAAGATGGCTTTCTACAGATGTTTGCTAGTGACCCTGTCTAATCTGGATCATCCAACGAATCATTGGTTATCCAAACAAGTATCATCACTCGGTATGTTTCTTCCTCCAGAAGCTCCTTGCAGTGTGATTGGACAGCTGCGGGTCAATGTGACGTACTCCTTCCTGTGCCAATCTTGTGACTCCATGGTGCTTCAAGACAGGTAAGGAGTGTTCTTTTTTTATTTCCACTGATTTGGTGAAGTAATGCATTGAAGGATAGTGATACGTTCACTATCAGACGCGTTGTTATTTCAGTGTTCAGCTATTATCAGACTATTTCCTAACTCTTAAAGGGCTTTTGGGCGAGTGCTTCCTTTGCCCAATGGAAACTGGAATGCATTAGTGGATGACTGGTGCTGCCACCCGGATCCCTTCGCAAATAAGAAGCTGCTCCCGCGAGATGGAGACTGTCTGCTCGGGGACACGTTTCTTCTGTTGGCTCGGGACAGCAGCTGTGAGCAAACCCTCGTACGGGAAGAGAAATCACTTCAGAAAGCCTCTGCAGAGGTAAGCTGTGGAGTTTAGAGACGCATGATTAAATGGCACTCTCACTAATGCAGCCAAGTGCTAAAAGTCTGATTTCTCTCTACCAAAACGGTGACGCTTCAGAGCTCTGAAGACACATGCAGTTGTGATATACACCCTAAGTAGTGCACAAATCTGACTTACACAGCCTGAGGCAGACGGCTTCCTTTCATCACAATAAAGGCTGAAGAGGCGGGAGGAAATCCACTCTTAAAAACATTACGCTCGGCCGGGCTGTGGAGGAGAAGCGATCATGTCTTTAAGAGGGATTGAATCACTTTCTCAAGCTCAATCTGTGTGTAGCCCGTGGCCATGCCGAGGAGATAAAAACACGCTTTCCGGCGCTTTTTCAATCCTAAATCACTTCAGCACACAGTCGTCTGTGTTCTTATTGATTTCTGTTTGATGGTTCTTTTTTTAACGAAATATTTTCAGCATACAGTCGAAGCAGAAGTTTGAAAACAAGTTGAAAAATTGCTTGCAGTGTTTTGTGCAGTGGTGTGAAACACTTTTTTTAAACAAATGCTTAGTGGAAAGAAGTGTTCACTCTCAGGAGGTCAAAACTACATTTGATTTGAGAATGTTTTATTTTCTGTTCATGTTGCATGAGGTTTGCAGTTTTCTAACACTGTTACCAAAATGGCAAGTCACAGGTTTGCAGATTTAGCTTAAAATAAGCTAGACTGGTTATTTTGTCATCAGAAAAAAACAAAAATAGTTTGCAGTTATTAATAAACGCACCAATGTTATGTTGAATTTGCTCTGTCATTCAAAAGTTTCGAGTAAGATTTTTAATGTTTTTGAGGGTTTTGAAGTCTCTTCTGCTCATCAAGGCTGCATTTATTTGATCAAAAATACAGTAAAAACAGTAATATTGTGAAATATTATTACAATTTCAAATAATTGTTTTCTATGTTAATATAGTGTAAAATTTAATTTATTTCTGTGATGCGCAGCTGTATTTTCAGCATCTTTACTCCAGTCTTCAGTGTCACATGATCTTCAGAAATCAGTATAATATGAAGATTTGCTGCTTGAGAAACATTTCCGATTATTATCAATGTTGAAAACAGTTGCGCCGCTTCCTATTTGTGTGGAAACTGTGATACATTTTATTATTCAGGATTCTTTAATGACTATACAATTCAGAAGAACTGCATTTATTTGAAATAGAAATGTTTTGTAACATTTAAAAATACTTTCTGTCAATTTTGATCAATTTAATGCATCCTTACTGAATAAAATGACATATGACCAAATTCGCCTTTCCCCATAGTATTTGTGTGTGTCTGCAGCAGAAGCATGGCAGCAAGCGTGTGATGGTGTCCTGCAGGAGCTGGGAGAGGCAGTCACTGCAGGCAAGGAAAGCAAAGCAGTGTAATAACTGTGGTAACACACCACTGGGCCATTTTACATGACTGCAAATGAAGAAAACCAGAGCTTATATTTACATCCATTACCCACGATGCATGTCGGTCATTCATTGTTTCTATTAGCAACAGCCTGAGACTCTCTAATGCACTTTGAAATGTTTTCAGACAAGTGCTGAAAGCTTCTGAAGCAAAAATAGTCCATTTATCTCTTTGCAGCACTGTAGTTTTTTTGTGTTTTGCCAATATTTTAAAGGGACAGTTCACCCACAAATGAGCATGCATGTACTCACCCTCGTGTTTTTATAAATCTGAATAACTCAAGTCTTCTGTATGGCAGATCTTCCTCTCTGATGAAGTTCTCAAATCTCGTTCATAATCAGATGTCATGTTCAATGCCACTTCACAAACTAGAGATTACATGAGTTTCGCCCACATCGGGAATATAAAGGCAGGTGAGTTTGGCATTGTAGATTAATTGCACATTGATACTTGTGTGTAGACAAAACAGGGGCGAATGTGGAGAGAAGAAGCGTGAATGAAGAGAAATCAATGTGTTGGCTATTAATACTGGTCTTGAGATCACAAAATATCGTTTTTTATTGTATTTTTATATTGTATGTATACAAACTACAATGTGTTAAAAGAATTGGGGAAGTGAAAGGACAATATGAGTTTTAAGGTAAAAACTAGCCAACATAGTATTTATGGATGGCTTTGTTAGCGTGTCACACTGTGACGGTGTTATTCATAGTTATAGCTTACATTTTAAACAATTTTTCATGCAATGTGCTGAAAATTCAAAAGAATTAAAAGTATCAAAATTAAAATAAGAGGAATTAAACCTAGATCAGATCAAATAATTAAATATACACATACTATAAACAAATCTAGTTTTAAAAAATCCAAATATTTAAGACATGTAATAGATCAAATCTGAACATTTATTTTAAGGCCCTTTATGGGGTTCCTACAGCTTTCAACTGTGGGGGAAAATTGGGATAGATTTCATTCCAATTCGGCGGGTTTTGAATCGGCTGAAATTTTTCTGGGACCTGGCAACCCTGGTGTCTTCACATATTTTTTTTAATTTTTTTTTTATATGCTACATTTGAACAGACTTGTATTGTGGGATAAAAGTGTTCAGCTAAACGTTACAGAGATGTTAAGAAGTGCTTCAAATGATCTTGATCAAACACTGCATGTGTAGCTTACTGAACTGAACCGAACTAAATCCACACGGAACTAAATGACACTATTGTCTTCTGCAGAGCTGCCTTGTAGCTAAAATAAAAATTTTTTGTAATTGATTAATTTACAGCTCTAACACCTATTTCCTGTTTATTACTGTGACGCTGTTTTGAAAGCATCTGTAGTGTATTTTCCTGTTTCCTGAAACTGCTTTGAAACGGTTCTGTATAAAGCGCTGTATGAATGCATCTGACTTGACTTGACAACAGTCAGTTAAACAGTTTAGTAGTTAGTCTGCACTGCAATGCTGCAATGAATCAATCAGAATTAAATATTCCAAACGTGATTAATTACACACCAGTTTGCAAATGCACAAAAAGATGATTTAGCTCTAAACAACAGCTACTAACATATTACTACTATTTCTAATGCATAAAGGCATACTGTTTTCTACACCGTATTCACTTAAGACTCAATTACATTCCGAAAATAGTTTTCAATATTTGGCCTGGAAAACAATTTTTGAACTCAGAATTATATTATAACTTTGTTCTTTATTACAAGAAAGCTCTATGTGTTTCTATGAAATGTTGAAGGTGCACATATTATCTGAGAGGTAATTTCCTGTAATCTTACACCTCCAGCTGTTAATAATGTGCAATTTTCTGTGTTTAGTATATTTCACTGTCCTTTGTTTTTCAGGGGTGATGAAGTTTTACATAACTGAAATATTAGTAAAGCCACATGATGATGGAGAGTGTGATATAACACAGCTCAGTTTAGAGTCCGAGCCTAATTCAGAAAGGTTAGCGAGTCCTTTTATTGTCACCTGTAGATGATAATCAGTCTGAGCGAGTTTTTATTGTGTTTCATACAGGCAGCGATTCTTGGAGCAAGCTCTAGCGTCCCGCTTGGTCGAGCTGTCATCCGCACAGAGTATATTTCGCTTTTCCATCCAAACCCCTGATGACAAAGCTGTGATTTTGGTATGAACATAAAACCTCATGCACTGTAAAAAAAATTAAGAAATTAAATTGGAGATGTAAATACAACCTAGATTATTAGAGTATGTTTTACAAGAAAATACTATTTCAGTCTTTCTAAATAAAAATGTCATATTTATGTTGCATGCCGTTTCTTAGTAATTAGCCTATTTAAATTTACTAGCAATTTTTGAGTGAAAATTAGTTTTCTAGCTTTTTTCAGTAAATCCTTTCAAATGTTTCAGTGTATATATACAAAAAAAGGTTAATTTTGTTCCATGTGCAAAGATTTCTCTCTGAAGTTCACTTACAGTTTATATGTGCACCAATAATATGATTATTTCCAATAATCAGAGCAAGGACTTAGCAGATGTTTAAGCATCCTGTTTACATGCAGTTTTCATTATTCTGCCGCTAGTATTCTTGTACCCCAATGCAAGTGATGTTTTTGATGAATATACTGCATTATATTCAAAAGTGTGATGCCTTCTTTGTACTGTGTACCTCACAAGCACATGCTCACAGTGGAACAGATGCTATGAAAGTGTTAACATGCCTGTTAAAATCAGCATACGCCTCTTATTTTACTGCAGTTATGGTTGCTATATGAGCTTAATCGCATCAATTTGATCAAAGTATTGTGTTAACGTGAGGTCAGTTTTAATCACAATATTGCCTATATCTCATTATGATCACATTATGAGGGTGCATGTAAACATTGGCAAGGTTAATCAGGGTTTTTTGCAACTAAAACATTTTGCACCGTCTCTCTGAGCTTTACATACTGGAGTTTCCTTCCTTCTGACTTGACAAAGCCATGTTAAAACATGCTAGCAATGTGCTAAAGTGTGTTAGCAACATGCAAAAAATTCTACCAGTGTGCTAAAGCATGCTAGCAGCATGTTAAATTATGTTAGCAACTTACTTAAATTATTTAGCAATTTGCTAGATCATGTAAATAACATTTTATTGACCTTAAGTAAAATCTTCAAACAAAAGTTACTTCAAACCTTTTTCAAAACAAGGCTTTGTCAAGCCAACATCAAAGTTTGTTCATGAACTTTACTCATCTAGTTAATTGAACCGTTTCTCTGCCGTGACCGCAGTCAACCTGAAGGAGAAAACTCTGAATCCAGGAGATCGTTTTACTTGTGATGTCCCCTTTAAACCTGGTCTTCAGGTAATTTCTTTTCTCTTGTAATTATCAGCTGTGGCTTCTGAACATGGACTCTCTGGTCGCCTCATTTCCCGACGCAGCAGCGAGGGCCGACAGCTTAATCTCCGCAGACGACAAAGAGCATCAGTCATGCCGGGCCGTTAAAGCAGTCAAAGTGCTCTACATCCTCTGCTCTGACAGCAAACTCAAAGAGTAAGTCATAGTTCACCCTGACATCTGCTCTTATTCCTCATAATAATGTCCATAACTAATCAGATTCCACCTCATCATGTGAATGAAGTGACATATGGGTTTCGATGTCTAATTTAAAAATAGATGCTCCCTCTGTTAATGTCTTTGTAGACCACATTTAAACCTTGGTAAAACAACATTCAACGTCAGCATAAACATCACTAAAGAGTGTTACTTGTAGGCTTAAAACAAGAAAAAAATCTGCTAATGGAAATAAAAATAGATATGCTATATTCTCTGAAAACAAGTCTTAATACCTATCACAATTCTCATTTGAATTGATCTTGTTGTACAGATGTTACAACATACATATTTTTATTGGGAATCCAAAACACTGATTAGCCCTTTAAAACCAGAAATATGAAATATGATTGTTTTTTTTTTTGTTTTTTTTTTTTTAATAGAACAGTTTATTGAACCTTTAGACAAAAAAACTTTGCATATGTATTTATTTGTTTTGTGTCATATTTGATACATCAGGCTTTTATGGCTCTTATAGTATGATATAGTGAGAATATGGAGCTCAAACTCGATGAGGAAAAACAGCTCAATGAGCTGAGCAAAAATCTGCAATTCGGTGCAGATGCTGATATTTATATTTATATATTCATAATGTAAATCAATGAGATCTTTATAACAGTAGATCAGATACTTACATAAAATGCTATAAATATCAGTCATCACTCTATATCTCCAATAATGTGTGTTAGTAAGATGAGATTTAAACGATCCAAACATATAATGCAGTGCAATCCAGTGATGATTGAGAGATGAAGAAATAAACGCTCCTCAAAAGATCCTGAGGATCAGATTTGAGACTCTAAAACATGATTGATGGAGAATCAAGTAAAGCTGAGCTGCTTCAGTCCAGTAAGTGTTCATCTGGAGATATTACTGCAGTTATTCTGACCTTTACTTGATCAAAATCAGTCAAGATTTGACAGCAGAAAGACACGTGAAGCACCAGCTGTACAATTAGACTAAATTATACTATTTCTTGCTAAAAAAGTATAAACTATCGATCAGACAACAGAAGGCATGTTGATCATTTAGAGGCCTTAGAAATTAGTTTCAAATATGATACCAACCAACAACCAATCACAAACTAAACAATATTTTACTTATTCAACTTTTAACATGCTCTTCTCAGTGTCAGCATCAGAGAGAAACGGTTTGAAATGTCAAACAGCAAAAGTGTTAACTGGATTGATAATGAGACGTAATATTTTTGTAATATGTTCCAGTAACATTTTGGATGCTGTGTTTAGTTTTATTTTGTCATGTTATTACTAAGTAAATTTGCACACACTAATGATAACGCAAAACAAATACCCACTGGGCTAAAACAGACTGCTTTTTACTCACTTTCTGTGTTTATATATATATATATTTTTTAAAGTAATAAAAGTTTAGATTTTTGTAAAGTTGACTGTTTAGTCACTGTCTTGATTTACTGATGTATAAAACAGCTTTTAAGTCAATAAGAAACTTTTCCAATTTGTTTTAGCTACATAAAGCCCTACACAAAATAATTGATTTAAATGTAAACATAAAAATTGCCCTTAAAAAGAGACTCAATTTCTGTCATAACAAAGGTTTAACAAAATGTGCAGTTAGTGCATTTTGCCCCTGCAGAACAGAACAGACTGTAAATGCACAAGCTCAGAGAAATGCTTGCATAGCTACTCACACTGATGTGTAATGTTCCCATTATAAGAGCTCGAGGATCCGTGGATCACAGAGGGACTTTGGGTGTGCGTTCTGCCACCAGAAGGTCGTCACGACTCTTTACACCTCTTACCTCTTCTCGCTCGCCTTTTTATCAAGTGTACATTAATTCTACCCATTTTCCACCCCTGCGCTTGAACGTCTCTCCTCCTCGCTGTATGTAGAGGTGCGGGGATCAAACATGATTCATGGTGCTCAGATGCAGGCCCTGAGCCGTTATGCTAAATAGAGGATAGTCTTACTGGAACCAGACTTTTGACTACCCACATCATGTCTGGTTAACATCGCAGATTAGTCTGGCCAAAAACTGCTTACTTAGACAGCAAGTGACTAACTGACTGACTGACATTAAAAGGACTAACTACAATTTAAATGTTATATATAGAGCATTTTTATGTAATGGTCATGGGTATATAATCCAGCAATAAATGGTTTTAATAACACTGCCCTGTGTAACCCCTCTCCCCCGGGTCCTCACTGCCACACCTCGTTCTCGCTCCGAGTGGGTCTCCGGCATGGGAGGCGAACGCACTAACAAGGAGGCTAAAGACAGCAGCCACTAGCTTTACTAGGTTTACCTGCACAGCACCTACTCGCTGGCCTCCGTTACACTTGCATCGTTTTTTGCTGAATGAATGAAGTTTTGCTCAAGCAATATGATGCATTTCATAGCATTTCTGCTTTTTACAATCATTTGTAAGGTGAAGAAGTCTTGAATTCTCCCTTAATCAGCAGAAAAATCTGCCACAAAGACATGATTCCTGTCTTCCTCTGAGCCAGAGTACAACTATTTGTTCAGTTCTCAGCCCGTTTTCACATGTCTGGATTAGGCATAAAATAATGTCATATTTTATACCTAATGCTGATTTCAAAGTTAAAATTATGGTCAGTGACAGAAAAAAATGCAAAAATGAGCCAGATGTTTTCTGCTACATCTGTGGGTATTTTACAACATCCAGACATTTTATTTTAATACGTTTTGAATACGTCTTTTTATCATTTATCTGTTTTTATTTTGATAAGTACATTAAAGCTGATACATGTACTGCAATTTGAAAAACTCTTCATTCTTATTTTGTGAAAAAAACTGTATGTGATGGAAAGTTTTTATTGATTTTTTTGTTGTACTCCGCATCATCAAATTAGATAATATTAGGCCTTTTTTGCAAATCAGCAGATTTTCTTTTTTTTTCAGGATGCAGGGCGGTGAAATCCAGTAAATGAAATAGGTAACTCTTTAGTTTAGGGACCAATTCTCACTGTTAACTAGTTGTTTATTAGCATGCATATTACTAGCATATTGTCTGTTTATTAGTACTTATAAAGCACACATTAATGCCTTTATTCTGCATGATGACCATATTTTAGATCCCTTAATCCAATTTAACAACTACCTTCCTAACTAAGCAGTGAATTAGGAGTTTATTGAGGCAAAAGTCATTGTTAATAGTTACTTAATAGTGAGCATTGGTCCCCAAACTAAAGTGGGACCTACAGAGCATGTGAGCACATTGAGCTGAATTCTGTATTTATAAAGCAAGTTGCAACATTGGACAGCAACCACAAATGACCTTCAGTCACATCATCTCTGTTCAGGACATCAGCAGTACATCACAACACAACACAACAAACACTAAATGACCCCCATTATGATCAGCAGAGCTGTTTACACTCATCTGTGACGCAGCTTGGAGGTTATGTTCAAGTTTTCTGATTGGTGCCAGATCTCTAAAACTAATTGGTGTCGGAAATAAACGATATAACGTCAGATGCAAATCTAAGCAAAGAGGAATCTCTGGTTAACAAACATTGCACAGTTTCCACTGGCCATGCTCATTGTATTAGCCTGGGAACTTTTGAAGTCGGAATGAAAATTCATTGCATACTATGGATCCTATTGTGAGCATATGTTCATTTTTTCCCCTATGAAACAGAGTTCTCTCTAGTGACGCTTGCAGGACTTCTCTAATCATATAGTGCACTTAAACCCCGCCCCGTTCTTGAAATTGACCCTTCGCCCTGAATTTCAGAAATACCGTAAAACCAGCCAATCAGATTAGAGCTTGCTGTTTTAAGAAAGCTCTCCTTTTTAGTGCGCAACATGCATCAGAATGTTTGTAAACACTATGTGTGTTCAATTTCTACTGAACATTTCTACTTTAAAGCACTGTAGAGCATGTCAAACGAGACTTGAAAGAGCACTGATGAGTAAGAGTGGAGAAAAAAAATGTGCCATTAGAATTACTGTAACTCTGGCATTTTAACAGATATTTTAATGATTTCTTAAAGGAACAGTTCATCCAAAAATTAAAATTCTGTCATCAGTTAGGTAGCAGGCATGTTTGAGCTTCTGTTTACATTATTTTATAAGCTCTATGTCTGGTCAGTGTTGATCAGTGTTTATATGTGAATGAAACACTATAGTTTGTTTTATAAAACCAGAGCATCTGAGATCTGAGCCTGGAATGCTGTGAATTATCATCCAAGCTATCTGTTTGTCCTTTGGTGTCAAATTGCTGAAATTAGCTTAAAATGTACCCACCCTCAGGTCATCCAAGATGTAGATGAGTTTGTTTCTTCATGGGAAGAAACAAAAATGTAGCATTGCATCACTTGCTCAGCAATGGATGCTCTGCAGTGAATGGGTGCCGTCAGAATGAGAGCCCAAACAGCTGATAAAAACATCACAATAATCCACAGCACTCCAGTCCATCAGTTAACATCTTGTGAAGACAAAAGCTGCTTGTTTGTAAGAAACAAATCCGTCATCAAGACGTTTCAAAATCCACCCACATATCTGTTTAGAGCTGCTTTGGACTGTTTTGGCTTGTAAACGCTGCTTGATCTGTGCAGATTTCTCTCCTGATTCCGACCAGATGACTTTTTCACTGGAGGAAGCGCTATTATGGATTATGAACTCCTATTTAGCCCTAAGCAACAGTTTGACGTTAAAAACACCTTAATGATGGATTTGTTTCTTACAAACACGCAACTTGTGTCTTCACAAGACATTAACTGATGGACTTGAGTGCTGTGGATTACTTGTACATTCCTGTGATATTTTTATCAGCTGTTTGGACTCTCATTCTGACGGCACCCATTCACTGCAGAGCATCCATTGCTGAGCAAGTGATGTAATGCTACGTTTCTCCAAATCTGATGAAGAAACAAACTCAACTACATCTTGAGGGTGAGCACATTTGAGCAAATGTTCATTTCTGGGTGAACTGTTTCTTTAAGAGGTGACTTAAATCATTAAGATCCTTTTCAGGAGCTGAAAGATTCATTTCAGATTCATTTTCATTCAAAGCAGAGTCCTAGCTCAGACTTCCCATTGCACTTTGAAGTAGAAACTTGAGTCTGATATCAAAGGTAATCAAGAAAATTAATTACTGTCATGTAATCAATCAGCTACCACTGAAGAGTGTTTGACTGAGGAAAACCCTGGTTGTGGTAATGCACGATGCTTCTCTTTCTGGGCTTCTCCAGCATTTCTGCTTTAAAAGCTGCATGTGCGCGTTCTCTGGATTTACAGCACAGATGGGTAAATGTCAGTGAATGTCCTGAATAGATCATCACCATAATGTGTGTCAGGACACAAGTCTCTCTCCGCTTCTCCTCTCGCTCGGCTGTCTTCAGTGCTGTGTGTTGACAGATTACTGTGACATGATTAAAACACTAATGTTTCAAACTGTCAGTTTAATATAATTTAAGGTCCAGCTGCTTCTGTGGGTGCAGAGTTATTGCACAGAGGTAGTAACGTTTCCGTTTTTCACCTTCAGTCAGTGTTCCTGATCATTTTTGTTCTAGCTCAGCAAAACCTAAATTTATTAGTCAGAAGCTTCAGCTACCTGAGCAGAAACACTCAGTTCACTGTGCCAGTTTGACAAGGAAAAATGTAAACTATTAACTTAATACAGAACAGTTCATTCCTCTATCAAGTAACATTTATTTCTACAGTACTTTATCCAATACAGATTGTTTCAAACCAGCACAGTAATAATTATAATTATAAATGTACAGTAATAAACAGGGAAATAATGTTAATGTTGTAAAATTAAAACAATTTTAATCGTTTTTGTCTTATTGTTTTTATTTTGTTGTGTGTGTGGTTTTAGTTGTTGTAAAGCACATTGGTCAACGTGGGTTGTTTTTGATTGTGCTATATAAATAAATTGTCATTGTCATAAAATTCGTCATTTATGAAAAATCCAACTGCAAAGCAGCTCTACAAAAGACAACAAGTGTCATTATAAAGCTCAAGTCAGTTCAAATTTGTAATTGTCAAAACTTTATAAAGCAGCTCTACAGAAGATAAAGAAGTGTCATTACTCAGCTCAGTTTAGTTATATTAAGCTCAATATTAGGCTATAACATTTTGATTTAATTTATACAGTAAGCTCAATTATATTTATTTAATTGTGCATTTATTTTTATAATTTTTTTAATAATTAGCTGTAGAAAGGATAGCCCTTATATATCGTGTAAATGTGTAAAAGTGTAAATTATTAACAAAATAAAAATAAAAAATAGCCCAATTAATCATGCCTCCTGACCTGTACATGTGCATTCAAAACTAGTTATAACAACATCTTAATTTTTGCATGTTGAAAATGGCATGGCTTAATAAACATAATTAATAGTGTCTATACACATCATATTAGTGTTTTTATACTTTAGTTTAATTTTATTTATAAAATACAAATACATTTTCCAATGGGGGTTGAACGTCTGAATGTACACGAGGATTTATCTTTTCATTTAAAATACATTTTTTTGAAGCTTAAATCAAATCGCCAGAAATAAAAAGCTAAATAAAAATCTGAAAAATAGAAATAAATTATGCAGTGGGGCCTAAAAGTCTGAAACTTCTTTAAAAATGTGGATTTTTCTTTTCATTTAAACCGGAGACCAGACAACAGGTAAAATCATGACATAAAATATTTTAGATCACTAATCAAATGTAAGTGAATTGGTGATATTTCTCTTTTTACTGTTCTGCTGATAATATGAGTAATACGATGTTAAACTAGAAAAGAATGCAGAATAGAAGCATTTTCAATAGTGGTCTACCAGTGAAATCCACTGTATGTTTATTTGCTAATAATCAGTGTACATGGATTTGAGAAATGTTGTCTTCATTTCTGTCTCCCCCTCACTCATCTTGTTTTTCCTCCTCTCTTTCTAGTGTTGTGGATGTTTGGGAGAAGGACATTAGTGTTCATCCTCTGCCGCTCCCTCAGAGCTCATGTGAGGAGCTCCAGAAGCTTCTGATGTCCAGCACCTCTAGACTGCCTGCATTCCTGCGCTGCATGAACTCATATCAGGTCACATACCGCTCTCACCACATGCATGACTGCTTGATCATTATACTTCATTATTTTGTAGTCTTTATTTATATTACATTTCTTCATTTAGCAGATGCTTTTGTCCAAAACGACTACAACACTGAGAAACACAATACAAAATTCCAAAATTGTCTAAAAAAGTACAGACTTGGGTAGAATTGTACTGTAGGTGTGAGTATAATAGAGTGCTGTAGTGATGATATACTTTTGTAGGCCAACCCACCCTGGTTCCCTTGATGAAAACCTAATAGGATTTTTCCATTGGCTTTTGTATTATTGCAGAAAATAAGCTCTGGGTCCAACAAAAGTGTTTAAAATTCTTACACATGTTGTTATCATTATAATCTTTACTAATGGACTCAAGCAACAAGGCTATAAAAGCGACTGGTTGGTGAAATGACATTTAATGTCCCAACAACCTCTGTAGTCCTGTTTAGACACTTGTTAGCAACCACCTTTATCAAGACAAGTAAAAGCTTTAAAAACAATCACAAGGGGGTTTTATGTTGAAGAATAAAACGTTAAAACATCTTGACCTTGTGTGAACCACATCTTATTTCAGGCATTAAAAAAAAAAAAAAAGAGTGCTAAAATGCAACTGGGCTTTGGCCTACAAATATACATCATCCCTGCAGCACACTTTCTACCTTATGTTTAACGTAAGAGTGACCACAGCAATTTATAACTTGAATGGAAGTGGAACATTGAATGGAACATTGGAAGCTTCACGCGGTTATTTTAGCAGTACAAAAACAGTGCAATGCTGCTTGATGTTCCATACGTATGTATGGAAGGCCGTTTTTAACATGGAATAAACCAATTTTTTTTTTAATAATTGTAACTTTTTTTTCTCTCACAATTTCACAATTCAGATTTTTTTTATCTCCAAATTCTGATTTTGCCATCTTGCAATGTTGTTGTTTTTTTCCACTACAGAATAAAAAATAAAGAAGTAAAGAACGATTATTTATCTCTCAATTCTGGCTTCTATTCTTGCAATTCCAAGACAAAAAAGTCTGAATTTTGAGATTGTGAGGAAAAAGTCACAATTACTTTATTTTTTATCGCTATCATAAATTTAAAACGTGCAAAACAATTTACTGCACTTTGTTATTCTTCTAGTTATTTACCTATTGCGGCTAATGAATCAGAAGTCTCACACATTCCCAGAAAATAGCTTACTTCCAAGTTGAAAAATGAGGTGGAAACACAGTTTAGTCATCTTGCATGTTTGTCGGTAAATTATTTAAGTGAAAAGGACCAAATCTGGTTAATATACTGTATATATATTTTTTGGCTAACTGGCAATACAAAAAGCCCTGAGATCCATTCAGTCACTGTGTGCTCGTTAGGCCTCAAAAAGAAGCACAGCTGTGTGTCGTTGGATGTCCCATCGATGTAGTGTATATTTATAAAGAAAAAAGGGGCCAAATACCGAGCCCTGAGGTACCCCAGTGGTTAGTTGATGTGATTAGACACCTCTTCCTACCAAAATATTCAAGTCAAGTCAAGTGCTGTTCCCATAATGGCCACTGCAGCATGAGGATGTATGATAGCAATACTCTTCTTACTACCTTTTATATGTGACTTGATTTTTTTTATCTGAAAGTTTTGTTACCCATCACCCCATCTGACAGCATTTTAATTGCCCATCTTCAGCTAAGCTGACATTAGTGCCTCTCATCTGCATTGATTAAGCTGAAATGTCTTCGAGTGGAAAAGAATAATTATTTTCTATAGCCTAATGCATAAAACAAAATATAACATCTCTTTGAAGCAGATGTGCACTGGTATCAGGCAGATAGCCTGGTTGAAATGCTTGCCTCAGTTTCTGTTGTTTCTCCAGTATATTTGCTCCCAATTAAGGAAGCAAAATATCTGTCTCTTGGCAGTCTTTTTCCCCACCTCACTGTGAAGAGTTTCAGGGCTTGACCCAATGCTAATGCTGATGTGCAGCTTTTTCCTTTTCAAAAGAGTCTAGATTTCCATTTACATTCTTACTGAGAGAAAAATAAGCCAGTAAAGAGGAACATTTTACAAGAGGTGTGCAGGAATTCCTTGGAAAAGGGGAGTTTTGTAGGGTCTGTAACACTTGAGATGTAAGGGAAAGAGTCTGCTAACAATTTTAAATAATAATTAATTATGTGGTGCATGTGGAGTTTTGTAATTTTTATGTTTATTTAATATATATATAAATATATATATGTGTGTGTGTGTGTGTGTATGTTCCAAATCTTAATGTCTACATACGCAGCAACCTTCTAAGGGAACATTCTAACTGAAACAGAACCTAAGTGGACAATTTGGTACACTCTACATAGGCAGCAACTCAAATAAACAATGTCAGCCTGTTCAGCTCAGGTCATTTACAGGGTGATTTAAATGCCAAAAGCTTTGCGTCACATTAAACAAACTTCTTTTTTGGTCCTTCTTATGTTGCCGTGGTTTATTTTGACCTTGTTTCTCATGCTAGCAACATGTGTTTGCTGTAGCTGTTGGAGGCAGTGAACTCTCTCCATCAAGTGGAAAACTATCCCTCATCCTGCCAATTTTTGTAGTGCTTTGATGATAAAATGGCAGACAGGCATCATCAAGCACATGTGCCTCTGAGAGTGCTGCCGCACAGTTCATTCAACACCTTTGTTGTGCTGAAAACAAGCAGAGACACGCAGCACACTGACCTATACAGATATAAAAGGTTATTGTTGATAAGGTTTACATGAATAGATTATTTCCAGTGTTGATCCAGCTAATACCTGAAATAATCAGAGCTTCAAAGACCCATTTTTGCAGCGATGCCAGAGTCGACATTCAAATGTTATGAAGTGATAGTTTGGTTTGCATCAAATTTATACTAATTTCTCATTTAATTACTGTTATATACACCACTGTTTCAAAAGTTTTGGATTGGTATGAGTTTTTAATGTTTTTGAGAAAACTATAAGAAAAATGGTAAAAAAAAAAAAAAGTAATATTGTGAAATCTTTTTACAATTTAAAATAACTATGTTCTGTTGTAATATATTTTAAAATGTAATTTATAACGGTTATGCAAAGCTGAATTTTCAGCAGCCATTATTCTTTTGTAATATTTTAAATGTCTTTAATTAAATGTCTTTACTGTCACTTTTGATCAATGTAGTACATATAAATTGAACTGAACAAAAACATACTGATTGTGCTTTTTTTAAATGCTAGTGTATATCAGTTACAGTGATGTAGGATTTTGTGATGTAGGGCCACTCAGCTGTAGCTGTGAGGTATGTAACTGAAATGCGGCTGGTTTGACAGTCTATTTGATGTTGTGCATGAGTTACTGGCTGTGTAAAGCTCTCTGAAGGCCGAGAAGAACCCACTCCAGGGACGAATCCTTGAGTGAGAGTTCATCATCGTCCGTCTCAGGACTCAAGGCCTGCATGAAGCTGATTTGGTTAAATGTCACTCCTGTCTGTTTGCCTCATTTTTTACATTATGCTACCAAAGTTCAGTGGCCATTCGTGGCAACATTTTAATTTTTAGGTTGTTATTGTAAATGAAAAGATCCCAGAATTAGTCATTTCTCAGCAGGTGGACCAGATAATAATGCTGCTGTTTCTGAAGTTGGAGTAATGATATAATGATGCTGAAAACTCAGCTTTGATTACAAGAATGAATTACATTTGAAAAAAGATTCACATAGAAATAGGAATCGGTTATTAGCGGCCAAGCACTGATGGTGCTTAGGCACGTATTGTATCCGTTAGTTTTCTTGCAGGAACCGCTTGTGGGAAAGTTATGAAATTTGGCACACAGATAGAGGAGAGTCTCCATATTAACCACAGCAAATTTGGAGTCTCTATCTCAAACTCTGTAGCGCCACCAACAGGCCACATTTGCATTCATATTTCTGCTAATAACTTTTGAACCGTAAAGTCTAGAAGCACATTTCTTTTCTTCTGATTCCTTGGCAGGATTTAAATTTCTATGGGTCAAGATTTTTCGCAATTTTGAATTTTGCAAAAATGTACTTTTTCGAGCTCATCCTAGATGGTTTGTCCGATTTTCACCAAAATTGGCACAGATCATCTTCAGACAATGCTGGCAAAATTATCAAAAGATTTCCGATAGACCAAACCATTCCCAGGTGTCATGAACTGCCTTTTTAGAAATTATTTTGTACTGTTCTCTGAGGTCCACTTATAATGTTATCAGTTTTTACATCAAAAAACATCATATTTTAGCAGTAATAGGCTATTTTCTGTCCTGTTTTGACCCTCTCATCAGAACACTCTGTTTGAATAGGTGTGGTGGATTGTCGACTCTGAAGTAAATGCCACTGCTGGGATTGGCTAACAGTTGTGTATGTTTGACAGCACACATCCTTCATAGATGGACACTGCTGTGATTTAGGTTAAAAACACATAAATACTCAGTACATATCAAGCGATCTGTAATAACAGACAAAGCAATAGTGACCACATAATAAAAAAAGTTACTCACACTTGTGTGGTGCGACATTACTGTCAGATCCAATACAGTTGACACATTAAAAATAAAGTTGATCCACTCTTTCCTAATGTTGAGGTCAGAAAGAAGGCGATGCAAAGTGTGTGTTTTTCCACAGGTTGGCGCTGCACAGCGTCTTGTTGTCTTCAGTGCATCTTTATCATTTGGTTTCTGTGTAGACCTGCGTTTGCCTCTCTCATTATTTACACTACATGCGTGAATCGGTGGGCGGAGCTAAACAGGCAGTGCTGTAGAAGCAGCATCTTCTTCTGCGGAGGCGGGGTTTAGCCACACTATTACATCATAAAGGGGCACATTCCACAACCTGTCATTTTGGCAGATTGGCTTCAGTTGAAGCTGCTTTTAGACTAAAGAGAAAGTTTTGAGTTCAGAAACTTACAGGATGCTTTTATAGTACAATGACCTCTTATATGTCAAAAGATCAAGGGAATTTTGATTTCTCAGTTCATGATTCCTTCAAAGCGTGTTAACGTATTTGAGGAAATTTGCGCTAAAATGGACATGAGACTATATCTTCATAACGCTTTAGCG